GGGCGCAATGCTTGCGGGATGAGACCCGGAGGCGTTAAACTCGGGTACTGCCGTGTAACTCGGCTAAAAATCCCCCGACGTAGAGCAACATTGCGCTTGCTCTAGCCACACCCACCTCAGTGTGGTCTTCCCCTTTGTAGAGCAAACCAATTCCAGCAGTGCTGAAACTAGCTTGCCCTAGCCACACCCACGCCAGTGTGGACTTTTTCCCTTTGATGCTGAGGTCTAGCCACACCCACCTGGATGTGGACTAGCCTAGGAGACCGAGAGCCCCCCACACCCACCCCGGTGTGGGAAAGCCTTCAAGTGACCGAGGGCGAACCCCCCACACCCACCCCAGTGTGGGAAAGTTCTGAAGTGGAAAGAGGAGATTTCTCCACACCCACCCCGGTGTGGACTACTCTCTCTCTCTTAAGTGGCTGAGGACCCTCCACACCCACCCCGGTGTGATACTGGCCTCATTAGCGCTCAAGTCCTCCACACCCGCCCCGGTGTGATACTGACTTGAAGAGCTCATAACCCATTCCAGCAGTGATGCTACCTGGCCATCCGGGTGCCCAGAACGCTCTAGAGGCCTGAACCTCCCTCCAATGTACAGCCCGCCGGCCGGCCGTCTGCACACCGTCAGGCTCTAAAGCGTTCCGGCCCGGTTGCTCATCACAGCACCACTGGAACGGGTATCCGAACTCTGCCCCCCACACCCTCCCCAGTGTGGGACAGCGCAGCTGCATGTCTGTCTCATGCTTGCCACTCCAAGGCCCCATCAAGCCTTGGCCACGTCTCAGCCACAGCTCAGCCCCCTCCTGGTCGAGGCACCCAGGCAGCCCCCATTGCGCGGCGGAATCGTTGTTTTCTGCACAGGGCAAATAAAACGAGTCAGTAAAGTGAAATATACACGGCTGGAAAAAAAACGAGAGTTGAATCAAGTGCGAAACAGAGTAAGGAGACAGCTTGCAAGGAGAGAGCTTGCAAAAGGCAACTTACTTTGTGAGTCGTAGCTTGAAAGTTGAAGCGTCGTGCAGTGCAGATCCTCCCAGCAGCTCCTCCCAGCAGCTCCTCCCAGCAGCCCTCCCAGCAGCTCGTTGTTTCCTGCACAGGCACAACACACCAAGTCAGTATAGTGACATAGACGTGGCTAGGAAAACACAAAAGTTGAACCAAGTTTGAAAAAGAGTAGAAAGACACCTTGCAAGGAGAGAGCTTGCAAACGACAACTTACTTTGTGGGTCGCAGCTAGAAAGTCGAAGCGTCGTGCAGTGCATATCCTTCCAGCAGCTCCTCCTAGCAGCTCCTCCCAACAGCTGCTCCCAGCAGCTCCTCCCAGCAGCTCCTCCCATTCAGCTCCTTGCAGCCGCTCCGATCTGGACCTTGCAGCACCGATCTGGTCCATGTAGCTCCAATCTGGTCCTTGCAGCACAGATCTGGTCCTTCAACAGCAGCAGCAGCGTCACGTGACTTCAGCTCCAACAGCAGTGGTAGGTGCCTTCCCTGCGCAAGCCATGAAAACAAAGTCAGAATCTGCCAAGGAGTTCCTTAAACAAAGCATTGTAGAAACAAATGAATTCTGAAACGAAATCTCAAATGGTGAAGGAACGAGATGACAAGGAGACGGTATGTAAAGAGAAACTTACTTGGAAAGTTGGATCGGAGCACAAGGCGGGTGGCGGGTGGCGGTTGTAGGTGGCAGGTGGAGGGTGGCGGATGAAGGACCCATCTTCACTTCAACAGCAGCAGCAGCGTTGCTGGTCTTCACTTCAACAGCAGCAGCAGCGTCATGTGACTTCAGCTCCAGCAGCAGTGGTAGGTGCCTTCCCTGCGCAAGCCATGAAAACAAAGTCAGAATTTGCCACGGAGTTCCTTAAACAAAGCATTGTAGAACAATTGGATTCTGAAACGAAATCTCAAATGGTGAAAGAACGAGATGACACGGAGACGGTGTGTAAAGAGAAGCTTACTTGGAAAGTTGGATCGGAGCACAAGGCGGGTGGCGGGTGGCGGTTGTTGGTGGCAGGTGGAGGGTGGCGGATGAAGGACCCATCTTCACTTCAACAGCAGCAGCAGCGTCGCTGGTCTTCACTTCAACAGCAGCAGCAACGTCACGTGACTTCAGCTCCAGCAGCAGTGGTAGGTGCCTTCCCTGCGCAAGCCATGAAAACAAAGTCAGAATCTGCCAAGGAGTTCCTTAAACAAAGCATTGTAGAAACAAATGAATTCTGAAACGAAATCTCAAATGGTGAAGGAACGCGATGACAAGGAGACGGTGTGTAAAGAGAAACTTACTTGGAAAGTTGGATCGGAGCACAAGGCGGGTGGCGGGTGGCGGTTGTTGGTGGCAGGTGGAGGGTGGCGGATGAAGGACCCATCTTCACTTCAACAGCAGCAGCAGCGTTGCTGGTCTTCACTTCAACAGCAGCAGCAGCGTCATGTGACTTCAGCTCCAGCAGCAGTGGTAGGTGCCTTCCCTGCACAAGCCATGAAAACTAAGTCAGAATCTGCCACGGAGTTCCTTAAACAAAGCATTGTAGAAACAATTAAATTCTGAAACGAAATCTCAAATAGTGAAAGAACGAGATGACAAGGAGACGGTGTGTAAAGAGAAACTTACTTGGAAAGTTGGATCGGAGCACAAGGCGGGTGGCAGGTGGCGGTTGTAGTTGGCAGGTGGAGGGTGGCGGATGAAGGACCCATCTTCACTTCAAGAACAGCAGCAGCGTCGCTGGTCTTCACTTCAACAGCAGTAGCAACGTCACGTGACTTCAGCTCCAGCAGCAGTGGTAGGTGCCTTCCCTGCACAAACCATGAAAACAAAGTCAGAATCTGCCATTGAGATCCTTAAACAAAGCATTGTAGAAACATTTGACTTCTAAAACGAAATCTCAAATGGTGAAAGAACGAGATTACAAGGAGACGGTGTGTGAAGAGAAACTTACTTGGAAAGGTGGATCGGAGCACAAGGCGGGTGGCGGGTGGCGGATGAAGGACCCATCTTCAATTCAAGAGCAGCAGCATCGCTGGTAGTCACTTCAACAGCAACAGCAGCATAGCTAGACTTCACTTCAACAGCAGCAGTAGCGGCACGTGATTTCAGCTCCAGCAGCAGTGGTAGGTGCCTTCCCTGCACAAGCCAAGAAAACAAAGTCAGAATCTGCCATTGAGTTCCTTAAATGGTGAAAGAACGAGATGACAAGGAGACGGTGTGTAAAGAGAAACTTACTTGGAAAGTTGGATCGGAGCACAAGGCGGGTGGCGGGTGGCGGTTGTTGGTGGCAGGTGGAGGGTGGCGGATGAAGGACCCATCTTCACTTCAACAGCAGCAGCAGCGTTGCTGGTCTTCACTTCAACAGCAGCAGCAGCGTCATGTGGCTTCAGCTCCAGCAGCAGTGGTAGGTGCCTTCCCTGCACAAGCCATGAAAACAAAGTCAGAATCTTCCAAGGTGTTCCTTAAACAAAGCATTGTAGAAACATTTGAATTCTGAAACGAAATCTCAAATGGTGAAAGAACGAGATGACAACGAGACGGTGTGTAAAGAGAAACTTACTTGGAAAGTTGGATCGGAGCACAAGGTGGGTGGCGGGTGGCGGTTGAGGTGGCAGGTGGGTGGTGGCGGATGAAGGACCCATCTTCACTTCAAGAACAGCAGCAGCGTCGCTGGTCTTCACTTCAACAGCAGCAGCAGCATCACTGGTCTTCACTTCAACAGCAGCAGCGTCACGTGACTTCATCTCTAGTAGCAGTGGTAGGTGCCTTCCCTGCACTAGCCAAGAAAAAAAAGTCAGAATATGCCATTGAGATCCTTAAACAAAGCATTGTAGACACATTTGAATTCTAAAACAAAATTTCAAATGGTGAAAGAACGAGATGACAAGGAGACGGTTTGTAAAGAGAAACTTACTTGGAAAGTTTGAATCAGAGCACAAGGCGGATGGCGGGTTGCGGTTGTATGTGGCAGGTGGAGGACTCATCTTCACTTCAAGAGCAGCAGCAGCGTCGCTGGTCTTCACTTCAACAGCAGCAGCAGCATCGCTTGTATTCAGGTCAACAGCAGTAGCAGCATCGCTGGTCTTCACTTTAACAGCAGCAGCAGCGTCACGTGACTTCAGCTCCAGCAGCAGGGTAGGTGGCTTCACTGCACAAGCCAAGAAAACCAAGTCAGAATCTGCCATGGAATTCCTTAAACAAAGCATTGTACAAACATTTGAATTTGAAACAAAAATATAAATGGCAGAGGAACAAAATGACAAGGAGTCGGTGCATAAACTTACTTAAGAAGTCGTATTGGAATGTAAGGCGGGTGGCGGTTGGAGGATGGAACGGCTATCTTCGCTTCAACAGCAGCAGCGTCACCTCAACTCCACTGGAGGACGGGCAGACGGACAACATAAAGTCAGTAAGTGGCCAGAGAATAATGTAGCAAGAAAACGAAAATACAAGAGAAAACGGGGAAAAAACGAAACAATAACGAAAACGACAATGAAGTGAATGAATGATGGCGGAGGTGAATGAATGATGGCGGAAGCATCCATGATTTTTCATACGCCACAGCTCGCAGAGGGACGGAGACTCTAACGCTACCCGAACCCATGCTAACTCTACCCAACCGAGGAGGATACATCTGTCCGCTGCGGCGATAATCAAATCAGAGGGATGGTGGATTGTGATGCATGAATGACGTGCGGATGTGAAAAAAAAGCAGCATTAAGTGGAAAAAAAACATTAGGAACGTTAAAAAAGAAAAGAAACTTCCCAATTCGTGGTCGATGGTGAGATCTAGAGCAGATCCGCAGTGGTCGACGGCTAGCTCCTTCACGTCACGTCCGTGACCACCTTTCTGATCCACGTCCGCGGCCACGAGAAGGAGCAATTGATGAAGCTTGGACGTTCGTAGCACAGAGCAGGCACCGAAAGCGTTGGTTTCTAAGCTCACAATGACCACGTGTGGCTATCAATATGGTACTCCAAAACGACCAAGTGTTTCAACAATTGGCTTGAAAAGAGTGGGGTCTAGGTTTGGACAAACTGTTGGTGGATCCGAACCTAGTGGAAATATTTTATGTCGCGCGTTGAGACGACGAACTGGATCAATGGACGGCCGAGATGCTTTGTCAGCCACGTGATTTATCATGCTTTTCACAACTCTGGGGATGAAGTGGACCCAAATTATCCAGGTTTGGGCCAAAACGGCGGTGACTCAGGGATCCTAACCTAATCTGGCGCGCGGGTCCTAAAAAAGTGGCCCCGAACCTACCTGTGGCGGTTGTTTCTCATCCATCAGTCGATACCATGGAAAAGGAACGCACCATGGCAGCCCCTGGATTTGGCGGGTTGATTTCTGTGCTCTGCTCCTCTGGGTGATCTGCTTCAGCAAACCCTAGCGGCAAGAGGCGGGTGCAGCAGACGATAAAACAGTGTCAGGATACCTTTCCCATTTCAGTTGGATCAACTTTTGGCGAACATTTTTCGGGAAGTACCTCCTTTTAAACTTCATGGATTCTAAAAGACGGTTCGAGTTTCAGTACTCAGTTACCACACAATTTGCCCACGACCTGGACAAAACCGAGCGGCGACAATCTAGGAGTGAGCCTCCAATAATCAAAGCAACATTTCTCATCCTGCCCGCTAAATCATTTATCTCGCTAAGGACGTGTCTCAGTTCGCCTCGGGTTGCCTCGATCAGACACGATCGATAACTTCCAGGAAGGTTGAGAGGCGATTTCATGCAATCAGGGGCAATCACTTGATCGCGATCAGCTGATCGCCCCAAACTCGATCAACCGCAAAAAAAGCCCAATCAAACACAATCACAGACAATCACCGTCGATCACTTGATTGCATTTGATTGGGGTACTACGCGAAACTGGCGAACAGTTACATCGGTCGGCAGGGATTCGTGAAACCCTCGCGAATACCCCGCTGTGGCAAGAACATTCTGGAGGCGCCATCATTTCGACATTACAGGGTTACACTTGAATTCGCTAAATCCATCACGAGGGGTTCGCAGTCGCCAAAGTGGGCCCGAAGATGGCAGGAAATGTATGTTTGCCTGCTGTGTACCCTCGTGGAAATCTTTTTTCTGATCGGGCGGCGCGAGCTATCCAAACAAAGGCACCCCGATCAGATCAGCCCCGACCAGATAACAGCCGACCAGAGGCGAACTGAGACACGTCCTAATCCCGAGGCTGTGAGCGGTGGTCCCCACCCCACGAATTCCGATTTGCGTGAATCGCATGGTGTATATATATATATATATATATATATATATATATATATATATATTTTTTTTCCGAGCTGGGCTCAATGATTTTGTTGAACGGAATGTATTTCTTGGTTGTGGTGAACCTTTGGCTGTTCGAACGTCCGCTCCTTGAACTGTTCTTGAATTTGGTGGTGTGCAGTACTTCGTTGACGAGTTGAAATAATTAGGAAAGTTGCCCAAGAATTGGCCTCCGAACTCTCTGGAAACTGACTTGGCAGTAAGGCGCGTTTCGGCTGTGTTGCGATGTTTCAGTCTCCGGAGGCGCTTTGGAGTAACCCAGACCGGCGAAGTACAGATTTTTCTGGCGAGAAGGATTGCGCGGGAGCGTCCTATCGTCTTGGGGGCTGTAACGTGTAACAAATTGTCAAAAATGTCGCGCGACGCGTTTGTTTTGTGGATGAGATGGGGCTGTGAGAACTTCAGGGAACTGGTACTGTAGTTTTTCGAGCTTTGCTCAGGGAGGCCTAATGAACGGAATCAGAAATCACACCTGGTGTGTGAATGTGTTTCCTGGTGGTGATGCATACCCGCACCCCCAACCACAAGACAGTTCGGTTTTACACTGTAGCCACAGAGTCCCGTGGCGTTCTGGTCAAACCGAGAAGCGAGTGCAGCAGTGCATACCCTGCCCGCTCATTCTAAGAAACGACAAACACATCACGACTCGGGGGACTGTTGTGGTCCCCACCTGGCATGGATTATGCTGGGGTGAGTCCTCCCCACCCACTGTACGCTGTGCTCTCTTATTTTTTTCGAGCTGTGCCCGAGGAAAGGGCTGATGAACTTCACGCCATCTCCCCAACCTCACCCCTGATTGGCTGACCAGCCGAGGTTACAAAGGCCGCCCATGCACTGACCTCGGAGGTGTTACACCCTGTTTCTCGAAGTTCGGACAACCGGGAGCCCCGGCTACAGTGCGCACGTGTGCTTGGATTCAGCGGGCTGGTGCTTGTAGCCGGTATACACTTCGGGAGAACGGTAAACAACGGTTCATGGAAAACAACGTGTCTTTGCGTTTGGTTGCATACGGTAAATGTGCTTATATTGTATGTTCTGGGACCAATTTGGACGCATTCATGTCAGTACAGCCGGCTCGTCAGTATGGCGAATGTCAGTGTGGCGCGAAACAGGGTGTACATTACAAGGGCGACCCGACAGACATCATCACTCGTTTTCGCGCCAATACAGGCGCATAACACCCAGGCGCTGTGTACTGTGCGGATAAGAGAATCGCCACATCACCCTGAAACCAGGGTTCCGGCTGCCGAGCCGACCAACCAGCGACAGCGACCCAAAACCCATCGGGCAGACAGAGCATGCATTGGTGTGACCGACAAGGCGACGAGCGAACGAGGCTGTGCGACGAACTTCGGGAGTTCCGCCGCCAATCTCTGACCCTTGACGACACAAAGTGTTTAGGAACCTTCGCATAGGAATCCCGCGACGCTGGATGAAGCTGCCTTGCAACTTGACGACCACAGCGACTTATGCTCAGAGAAGATTGGGCGACGATTCCCACGCGCATACTGTAATAGGCGTCAATCTAAGCGGCTGGTTAGCGTTAATCCATATATTCGGAAACAAGTGATTTGCAAAAGGCTCTCTCTATAGCGAGAATCCTTCCTGGGCAGAATCTCTATCAAATGCCACGTCCACATCGTCTTGTAGCCCAGAATTCCCCGCAATCTGAAGCTCTTATGCGAGGAAACTCATTTGTGTGTGGTAACCAATCGTTAATCTATTCCGTTATGATCCATCTCACGCTAATTGTTCTACTCTGCAGCATCCCTCCACACCTTGGGATCTTGACGCACTCGCCACTCCCACTCACAAACCCTCTCCCCTCACCTCGAGCAATCTTTGTACATATCCGCAGATCCTTCCAAAATACATGCTGTCTCTTTAGGTCAGTCTGACGAGCCGTCAGACTGAATCAGGCCGTCGCGCTTGACGATCGTGGGAAACTACTCGTTTCACAACGTCGAAGCGTGCGGCTTTGCGCAGTAGCAGCGTGGAAAACGGTGCACGCCGTTGAGTCTCTTAGTTGATCGGTCTTCTCTAGTCAACTCGTTTGCTTCTGAGTCGAGTCGAAGGCACAAGCGTGGGCGACGGTGCGTGCGGTCAGTCCGCAGAATGGCGTTTCCCCCGCCAGTCGCCGCCATTCCGCCACACCTTTGCGCATCCATTCCCGCTCTTCCGACCGCGATTTCCATTCGCCATCCACATTCCAGCCACTCAATCCCGTCTGCAGCTGCCGCGTCGCCGTCACGCCTCGTACACCTTAGTACCGCGTCGCCGTTATCTCCCCTTTCAACAGCCTCCACTTCTTACCGCGGACACAGCCAGCATCCCTCCACCGCTATCATCACCGCCGCCGCCGCCGTTGCGGACGGAGACGCGATCGCTCCCACGTTTTCCGGCGCGTCCGGCGCCGTGATCCCCGCGGTTGAAGCCGCCGGGGCCAGCGCCTTCGCGGCAGTTTCGCCGTTGAGTCCTGGATCGCACGATCGTCAGAGTGGCTCGACTAGCGACGGTACCGCTGCGGCTGCGGCTGCTACCCTGTTGTTTCGGTCGCGGAAACCGTCGCTGCTGCGACCCAACGCGACGAATCGGCTGGAATGCGCGACAACTCGCGATATGTCGCCAGGCTTCGCGCAGAATGTCGGTGCAGGGGCGAAAAGGGTCGCCCGTGTTACCACGCAGACCGCGGGGGCGATTTCCAGCGTCCTCCGACTTGCGCCTTCCGCCGACGCCACGCGTGGAGGAAACGGGGACGACAGCGGGCGGGGCAGAGAAGCGCAGAGGCGCAAAGGTGGGCAGGCGGAGCAGCGGCGGGGGGAGGGGAGAGCCCGGGCGGAAGATGAGGGGAGTTTGACTGACGAGGAGGAGGAGGAGGGACATCGGCGGAGGGTGCGTTTGGGGAAGGAGCGGCGGCTGGGGCAGCCGTGGAACTCCGGGATTTCCCCCGCCGGCCAGCGCGCGTTCCGCCGACTGCTGCTCGGCGCGGACGGGGAGCGGGGGAAGGCGGAACGGGTGCTCAGCGCATCTGCGGAAGCGGAGGCGGAGAGGCAGCAGGGGAGGGCGGGGAACTTCGGGAGAGTGGATCGGTGGTCGCGACGTGAGCAAGGGTGGGCGGGCGATGGGCGCGCGGATGGTCCCGGATGCGATGAGGGCGGACGCGCGCTGGAGATCCGCGGAAAGGGCGGGCAAATGGCGGAGAAGGGAGAAGGGGAATTGTCAGGGGAGATATCGGCGAGTGATATTATGGCAATTCTGAAGGGGTTGGGGAACAAGGGGCGGTGGCGGGATGCGCTTGCGGTGTTTCACTGGGCGCGTGAATGCGGAAAGATCGGCGGGAGCTGCGCGGAGGGGGAAGAGGCGTGGCGGGAGCGCGGGAACCCGATGGTGTCGCTGGTGCTGCGCATACTGAGCCGATGCGACCGCCCGAATGTGAGTGTAACGAGGGAGGGAGGCGTCAAGATGTGAGTGTAAAGAAAGATGCTACCGCGTTCGCGTCGGACGGTAGAGCGTTCCATTCCCTACGCATAATATGCGCGCTCTCGCTCCTCGTCCCATCCCCTGCTACTTGCCAAATCCCTTGCGCAGGAAGCGGAAGATCTGTTCCGCGCGCTAGTGGCGGACGGTTGCGCGCTCGACGTATATGCATACACCGCCATGATGAGCGCGCTCTCGCGTGTGCGGGGCGTCTGAGCCCTCCCTAACTCCCCTTCCCCCCCCCTTCTCTCCCCGCGCAGGAGGCGGACGATCTCTTCCGCTCTCTAGTGGCGGATGGATACGCTTCTCCCCCTTCTAGTGCCCTTGATGTATACGCTTACACCGCCATGATGAGCGCGCTCTCGCGCTCTCTCTCATCTCCCACCCACTTCCCTTGGCCCACGTGCAGGAGGCGGACGATTTGTTCCGCGCGCTCGTGGCGGACGGCTGTGCCCTTGATGTATATGCTTACACCGCCATGATGAGCGCGCTCTCGCGCGCGGGGCGCTTCAACGACGCGATCGCGCTCTTCCACTCGATGCGCGCGGACGCGGGCGTGGCGCCCTCTATAGTCACATTCAACGTGGCGCTCGCCGCGTACGCGCGCAAGCGCGGGTGTTTCCACCACATGGCGGCGCTGCTGCAGGAGATCCGGACCGTTGGATTGACGCCCGATGAGTATACGTATAATACGATGATTTCGGCGTGTGCTGATGCGATTGCCAATGAGGAGGCGGGGGATGTGCCTGCTGTTGCCCCTGCAGTGACAGGACCGGCGGCGGGAACAGCAGCAGCGGCGGCAGGAACAGCGACAGCAGCAGCAACGGTAACAGCTGCTGCAACGGCTATAGCTAGGCCAGCAGCAGGAGCAGCAGCGGCGGAAGGAGGAGCAGGATCAGTAGTGGTAACACAGGAGGAAGGGAAGGGAGGGTTACTAGCACAGGGAGGGTTACCAGCAGCAGGAGCAGCCGCCGCAGCAGCGGATAGCAGCAGTGACAGTAGCGATAGTGACACTGGCTACAGTACCGGCCACTACACGACAAACGACAGCTACAGTTCCAGCAGCAGCGGCAGCAGCAGCTACAGTGTCAGCAGCAGTGCCGCCCAGTACATCCAAGAAGCGGAGCGAATCTTTGCTGAGATGCGGGTGGCAGGGCTGAAACCGACACGTGTCACGTACAACGCGCTGCTGGACGTGTACGGGAAGGCAGGCCACGTGGCACTCGCCCATTCGGTGCTGGAGTCCATGCTGGAGGCGGGCGTGCGGCCGAATCTGGTGACTTATAACGAGATGATCAGCGCGTGCGCGCGCAAGGGGCTGTGGCGGGAGGCGCGCGGGATTGTGGAGTCCATGCTCCGCGGAGGGGAGGCGGAAGGGGGAGGGGCGGAGGGGGAAGGGGGGAGGGGGGCAGAAGAGAAGGGGAAAGTTAAAAGGGAGGGGAAAGCGATGGTTGGGGCTGATAAGATTGAGGGAGGATTGGCAGTGGGGAAAGGGGTGGCAGGAGGGGTGGCGGAATTGAGGGGGAATGAGGAAGGGGAGGAGGGAAGAGACGAGAGAGCAGGGTTAGGGGTTGGGGGACCAGAGAAAGAAGCTTCGGGGAAGAAGGAAAGTAAGGAGGATCTTATTCTCCCTCCCAAACCGGATGTTTTTTCCTACACTGCCCTGATAGCAGCATACGGGAAGGGCGGGCAGGTTGAAAAAGTGAGGGAAACTTACGAGATTATGCTACAGCAGGGCTGTTTCCCAAATCTTTTCACCTTCAACATTCTCCTGGATATTTACGGGAAAAACAAGCTCTTTGCTGACGTGGCATGGGTCATGGATGAGCTGGCAGCGAGCGGGATCAAGCCCGACGTGGTGACGTGGAACACCCTGATTCGCTGCTATGGCCAGGCGCAGATGCTGCCGAAAGTCGAGGCTACTGTAGAGGCGATGCGAAGATCCGGCTGCCGCCCGAATCGGCGCACTTACAACGGTCTGATCGACGCGTTTGGACGGTGCGGATCGGCCGCTGATGCAGCAGCGGTGTTTGAAGCAATGAAGTGTGCTGGCCACACGCCAAACACTGCCACCTATATCGCTCTGCTTGCCGCCCAGTCCCGAGAAGGCCTGTGGGAAGAAGCCGAAAACACCATAGAGACTATGAGACGAACCGGTTACGCTCCCGATGCTCTCGCTTACTCTTGTCTTATTCACGCGTACGCTGCAGCTGGCGATGCAAGCAGGCTTCTAGATGCGGTTTCCCGGCTGGAAGCTACTGGGAAGATTCCCAGGTCTACCTCCCCCAGATGCCCCTGGGAGGTGCACAAGTCGCTGGTTTTGGCGTTTTGCAAGTGTGGGTGTGTGGGGGAGGCAGAGGCGGCTTTAGAGAGGATGAGGGGGATGGGGCATGTTCCCGATCTGGTGGTGTGGAATGCGGTGCTGGGGATGTACGGGCGGTTGGGGAGGGTGGAGAGGGCGGAGAGGGTGAGGGGGAAGATGAGGAGGGAGGGTGTGGGGGGGGACGTGGTGACTCATAACGTGATGATGAGTGTGTATGGGAGGGAGGGCATGAGTGAGAGCGTGGAGCGGGAATTTGAAGGCATGAAGGCCCGAGGGGTTGCACCGGACGCTGTCTCTTACTCCTCCATCGTTCTCACGCTCTGGTGAGTGCTGTGTTTGGTAGCTGAGGTGTGTGGTTGGTGTTGGTCAGAGGGAGTTTGATTTGAAGGTGTGAAGGCCAGGGGGGTGTGAAGGCCAGGAGGGTGTGAAGGCCAGGAGGGTGTGAAGGCCAGGAGGTTGGCTCCCGACGCTGTCTTGTATCACCCTCTGGTGAGCTAAGTAGATTTGGTGTAGATTTGGTGAGCTAAGTAGATTTGGTGTATTCCTGGTATGAATCTATGGTAATCAGCCTGGTGGTTAGCTTCGGCACTTAACTGTGGTAATAAGTTCTGGTAACTAGCTGCAGCAGTTACCTCTGATCAGCAGACATGAGTGTAAACTAGCCTGAGTTGGAGGCAACGCCCTCCTGGCAAGGCAAGGCAAGGCAGCTGCTCTCGCCCTCTCCAGTGCGGTGCATAAATCAATGCTTCCTTTGTCTGTGACTCTTGCTCCCCTTGTCCCTGTGTTCCCCCTCGCAGCAAGGTGGGAAGAGTGGAGGCAGCTAGTCGCTACGTGGCAGAGTGCGAGGCGAGCGCCCTTTCCCTCTCCCCTGCTGCTCTGAACGCCTTTGCCTCGGGCTGCATCTCTGCCGGGCGGCCCACTGATGCCGTCAGGGCAATGGAGGCAGCGGAGAGACGTGCCGGCAGGTGAGCAGTCACTTGAGACGCAGGAAGGTGATAGAGACAGAAACTTCAACTCAGGGCACTGGCTGCAGTGAAGGCTCTTGCTTTTAAATGCGTGCTGGGCGGCCCACTGATGCCGTCAGGGCGATGGAGGCAGCGGAAAGACGTGCCGGCAGGTGAGCAGGCAAGGTGTGTTATGGCTCTCTCCCCCTGCCACCTGCACCTCTCAACGCCTTTGCCTCGAGCTGTCTTTCTGCTGGGCGGCCCACTGATGCCGTCAGGGCGATGGAGGCAGCGGAAAGACGTGCCGGCAGGTGAGCAGGCAAGGTGTGTTATGGCTCTCTCCCCCTGCCACCTGCACCTCTCAACGCCTTTGCCTCGAGCTGTCTTTCTGCTGGGCGGCCCACTGATGCCGTCAGGACGATGGAGGCAGCGGAAAGACGTGCCGGCAGGTGAGCAGGCAAGGTGTGTTATGGCTCTCTCCCCCTGCCGCCTGCACCTCTCAACGCCTTTGCCTCGAGCTGTCTTTCTGCTGGGCGGCCCACTGATGCCGTCAGGGCGATGGAGGCAGCGGAAAGACGTGCCGGCAGGTGAGCAGGCAAGGTGTGTTATGGCTCTCTCCCCCTGCCACCTGCACCTCTCAACGCCTTTGCCTCGAGCTGTCTTTCTGCTGGGCGGCCCACTGATGCCGTCAGGACGATGGAGGCAGCGGAAAGACGTGCCGGCAGGTGAGCAGGCAAGGTGTGTTATGGCTCTCTCCCCCTGCCGCCTGCACCTCTCAACGCCTTTGCCTCGAGCTGTCTTTCTGCTGGGCGGCCCACTGATGCCGTCAGGGCGATGGAGGCAGCGGAAAGACGTGCCGGCAGGTGAGCAGGCAAGGTGTGTTATGGCTCTCTCCCCCTGCCGCCTGCACCTCTCAACGCCTTTGCCTCGAGCTGTCTTTCTGCTGGGCGGCCCACTGATGCCGTCAGGGCGATGGAGGCAGCAGAGAGACGTGCCGGCAGGTGAGGAGGAAAGGTGAGCCGTTCTGGTACTCTTCTTTCGCCCTGTCTCCCTGCGTGGTAGCAAGCAAGGTGCCCTATGGCTTTTCCTCCCTGTTAGCTGCTGCGTTGAATGCCCTTTTCTTGGGCTGCCTGGCTGCTGGGCGGCCCACTGATGCCGTCAGGGCAATGGAGGCAGCGGAAAGGAGAGCCGGGCGGGCAGGTGAGTAGTTCCTGGCAGGGAGGGTGTAAAAGGGCAGGTGAGTAGTTCCTGGCAGGGAGGGTGTAAAAGGGCAGGTGAGTAGTTCCTGGCAGGGAGGGTGTAAAAGGGCAGGTGAGTAGTTCCTGGCAGGGAGGGTGTAAAAGGGCAGGTGAGTAGTTCCTGGCAGGGAGGGTGTAAAAGGGCAGGTGAGTAGTTCCTGGCAGGGAGGGTGTAAAAGGGCAGGTGAGTAGTTCCTGGCAGGGAGGGTCTAAAAGGGCAGGTGAGTAGTTCCTGGCAGGGAGGGTGTAAAAGGGCAGGTGAGTAGTTCCTGAAAGTCAGGCCTGAAAAGCACCTCAGATGGCTGCTCCTGCTGATGATGATACTGCCGCTGTGGTTGCCACTGCCACTCACTCGCCTTCTCTCCCTTGTGCATCAACTCACTCCTCTCTTTTCAATCCCACCTGCACACTCAATCCCATGCAGGCTTGACCGTGACTCGTATGCTCTGTGGATGCAAGCACTCCAGATGGCCGCTGCTGCTGCTGCCAACAGTCCCAAGAGCAGTAGCAGCAGCAACGGCAGCAGCAAGAGCAGCAGTGGCAACAACCGGAGCAGCAGCAGCAGCAGCAACGAGGGCAAGAACAGGAGCAGCGGCAAGAGCGGCAAGAGCAGGAGCACCTCATCTGATGCAGCAGCTGCAATCACCCCATCCAGTGACGCAGCAGGAGGTACCATGGATAAAGCAACTGATACTGCAGAGGATACGGCAGTGGCAACAGCAGGAGGAGCAGCAGGGGATATGGCTGCTGCAGCAGCGTCCCCTCAGGATCACTACAGCTCCCAGCTGGCGGTGCTGGCTGCACGGATGGAGGCGATGGAGATGAGAGGGGGAGGGGGGGCTGGCAAGTATGGTTTTAGTAGCGGAAAGAGCACCAGGAGGCGAGGCGGGAAACAAGGTTTCTAATATCAGTCGTTCCTATCAGGAGAAACGGCAGCGGCAGTGCATGTGTGTGCATCCCGTCAGGATCACTACAACACTCAGCTGGCAGTGCTGGCTGCTCGGATGGAGGCAATGGATATGAGAGGGGGAGGGGGGGCTGGGAAGTATGGTGCTGGCAGTGGGAAGAGCAGCAGGAGAAGCGGGTAAGGGATTTTAACAGTAGCTCCTATCAAGAGCAGCAGCAGGTTTGCAGTGCAGATGCCCCTGCAGGGCAGGGGAACAGAATCAATTTGTTTTTCTCGTGCATATACCAGTCCTCATAATACGGTATGGGTGTTGCTTGCTTCGTATGTTGCCGTAGTACAGTACTAAGTATACTAGAGTGTTAACTTGTGGTATTTGATCTCGTGAAGAGTATAGGGTTTGGTTGGTTGAGCAGTGCAGCAAATGGATAATAAATTTCACAAATTTTCACCTTTTTTCCAAATGTACAGCAGAAGCACCTGATCTTCATAAGGTATTGGGCAACTTTGTAGGCATTGGGCAGCTTTGTAGGCATTGGGCAGCTTTGTAGGTGTGCCGTAGCAAGTGATCACTACTAGCCTAACTATGGTTAGATTATAACAGTTCTGTACCATGTCCTTGGTGGCTTTTATCAGGTAGGCCCATCAATTTTGATGAAAGGGGAAAACACCACCTTTCTCCTCTTTCCCAGCACACCATTTCGATGAACTTAGTCATTACCAGCTAATATTCATTCGTCACTCTATGGTACATAGTGTACATATGTACATTGCATCATTACTGAGTCCCAGCAGCAGCAGCAGCAGCAGCAGCCCTATTTGAAACGCTGACATGGATAAGGTATGGGATGTGCATGTGCATGTGCATGTGCATCCAGCTCTTCACGGGTAGAAGCATATGGTAGGAACATGTGTAAACACTTGTATGTATGCCCTCCCTAGGCTGGAGGCAGAAGCTGCTCCTCTTATCTCCTCTAAAGAACGACCCGCTGTTTCTACAAGAGACGTGGCGGTGAAGAGTGCACCGGCAAAGCATACGCATGCGAAGAATGAGAAGAGGGTGGCTGGGCCGAAACGAACCATCAGGGGGAGGAAGGAGAAACCGACCATGAAGTTGAAGACCTGGAGAGGACGCAAGGAAGGGAATGGAACAGAGAGGGCTTGATTTTGCACCAGAGAAGCATATGCAGGCGAAAAATGAGAAGAGGGTGGTTGGGCCGAAGCGAACTATGAGAGGGAGGAAGGAGAAACCGACCATGAAATTGAAGACCTGGAGGAAAGAAAAAAGGAACGGGAAGGGAGGCGGAATCTGAAATAGATGAGACGTAATTCCTTTCATAGACAATATTAATTTAGACTTGCAAGTATCACAAACCATGACAACCATCACTGGATGCAATGATAGATTATCCCCTTCAAGATACCTGCTGCACATTGTCACATGCCCCATGCCCCATTCCACATGCCCCCATGCCCCATTCCACATGCCCCATACCCCATGCACCGTCCATCATGCACGTACCCAGTGCACACACATGGCAAAGGCCATGCCCTTGGCTCGGATGTGGTTCGGCAGCATCTCAGGCAGCATCAGGCCCGGCACAGGCCCGGCTCCCATGGTGAAACACGCCACGTAGCTGCAGGGTAAGGGGGGGAGAAAGGGGAGAAGAGGGACGAGAGTGTTGGTGAGAAGTGAGCAGTGTGAAACATTACATGCAGAAATCACCATGACAGGCTTATTTACAGTGGGCCCCCCTTCAACCCCTCTCAAACAACCGCACTCCGCCACACTCAACCGCACTGAGGCACACCAAAACATACTTACTGCCGCACTCAACCACACTCAACCGCATTCAACCGCTTTAAGGGATACTCACACAAGGGTGGCAGTGGGAGTGATGAGCGGAGCCACAGGCGCCATCCATGGTAGCACCTGCGCTGCTGCCTGCACCGCCATGCATAAACCCTGACGGGAGAGAGGAGAGTGGAGTGGAGAAAATAGACGAATGCAAGGAGGGAGGGTGAAGAGAAGAGGGCATTATGATGCAATGGATAATGTGGCCTTATGGATTCTACCCTTATGTAATTGCTGTAGCACTTGCCTTTTGAATAGCACTCGGTAGGAGGAGAGGGTGGGTGGTACACACTCACCATGCCAATGAAGCTTCCTGTGATGAGGGCCTTCCTCCCAACACGGTCTTTTGTTGCTTCTCAAAAGCCATGCATTGGCTTCCTAAAGTGATCTTCACTCACCATACCAACAAAGCTTCCTGTGATGAGCGCCTTCCTCCCAACACGGTCGATGAGAGCAGAACACACCAGAGAAGCTAAAGCACAAGGGGAGGGAGGAACGGGGCAAGAGAAAAACAAAATAGAATTAAAAAAAAAAAAAAAAAAAAAAAGTGGATGAGGAAACGCTAACAGATTGTATTGAACATGCCCATTTCAATGCTAGCTAGTGCACCGGACTGCACCGGATTGCACCGGATTGGATGCCGGCTGTCTTGACGAGGTGCGAGGAGAAGAACTACTGGGTCAATGATCTTACTACAGCCGGCATCTTATTGGCGGACCTTACTACATGCATGCGGAGAGTACATGTAGACTTACCCACTAGGTTGAGTGTGCCCATGGCAACGCTGGCCAGGGCGCCAGACTGAATGCCGGCCGATTTGAAGAGGTGAGAGGAGAAGAAGAACACGGCATTGATGCCGCTGAGCTGCTGGAGCGCAAAGAGGGCTGCTCCTATGGTGACCACTGGAGGGGGTTGTGGACAAGAAGGGGGGAGGGCAGGGCGATAAGCATGAGAGGTGAGAGGAGAAGAAGAACACAGCATTGATGCCGCTGAGTTGCTGCAGGGAAAGGAGGGCCGCTGAGTTGCTGCAGGGAAAGGAGGGCCGCTGAGTTGCTGCAGGGAAAGGAGGGCCGCTGAGTTGCTGCAGGGAAAGGAGGGCCGCTGAGTTGCTGCGGGGAAAGGAGGGCCGCTGAGTTGCTGCAGGGAAAGGAGGGCCGCTGAGTTGCTGCAGGGAAAGGAGGGCCGCTGAGTTGCTGCGGGGAAAGGAGGGCCGCTGAGTTGCTGCGGGGAAAGGAGGGCCGCTGAGTTGCTGCAGGGAAAGGAGGGCCGCTGAGTTGCTGCAGGGAAAGGAGGGCCGCTGAGTTGCTGCAGGGAAAGGAGGGCCGCTGAGTTGCTGCAGGGAAAGGAGGGCCGCTGAGTTGCTGCGGGGAAAGGAGGGCCGCTGAGTTGCTGCGGGGAAAGGAGGGCCGCTGAGTTGCTGCAGGGAAAGGAGGGCCGCTGAGTTGCTGCAGGGAAAGGAGGGCCGCTGAGTTGCTGCAGGGAAAGGAGGGCCGCTGAGTTGCTGCAGGGAAAGGAGGGCCGCTGAGTTGCTGCAGGGAAAGGAGGGCCGCTGAGTTGCTGCAGGGAAAGGAGGGCCGCTGAGTTGCTGCAGGGAAAGGAGGGCCGCTGAGTTGCTGCAGGGAAAGGAGGGCCGCTGAGTTGCTGCGGGGAAAGGAGGGCCGCTGAGTTGCTGCAGGGAAAGGAGGGCCGCTGAGTTGCTGCAGGGAAAGGAGGGCCGCTGAGTTGCTGCGGGGAAAGGAGGGCCGCTGAGTTGCTGCGGGGAAAGGAGGGCCGCTGAGTTGCTGCAGGGAAAGGAGGGCCGCTGAGTTGCTGCAGGGAAAGGAGGGCCGCTGAGTTGCTGCAGGGAAAGGAGGGCCGCTGAGTTGCTGCAGGGAAAGGAGGGCCGCTGAGTTGCTGCGGGGAAAGGAGGGCCGCTGAGTTGCTGCGGGGAAAGGAGGGCCGCTGAGTTGCTGCAGGGAAAGGAGGGCCGCTGAGTTGCTGCAGGGAAAGGAGGGCCGCTGAGTTGCTGCAGGGAAAGGAGGGCCGCTGAGTTGCTGCAGGGAAAGGAGGGCCGCTGAGTTGCTGCAGGGAAAGGAGGGCCGCTGAGTTGCTGCAGGGAAAGGAGGGCCGCTGAGTTGCTGCAGGGAAAGGAGGGCCGCTGAGTTGCTGCAGGGAAAGGAGGGCCGCTGAGTTGCTGCAGGGAAAGGAGGGCCGCTGAGTTGCTGCAGGGAAAGGAGGGCCGCTGAGTTGCTGCAGGGAAAGGAGGGCCGCTGAGTTGCTGCAGGGAAAGGAGGGCCGCTGAGTTGCTGCAGGGAAAGGAGGGCCGCTGAGTTGCTCCAATGGCCACCACTGGAGGCAGGAGAAGGAAAGCGGTCAGGGTGTAGGGGAGAAACGATTTTTGGGGGCACCTCAGAAGTAGCAACTGGGTATGTGCAATGAGTGCTTACTGCCTTCCCCTGCTCGGGGAACTACTCGGTTGTTGGAGAGAAAACAGGGCTACTCCGGTGGTAACCGCTCGCTACTCACCGCGCACGTATCGCTTGGAGAGGAGGCTTCGCCAAGTCACCTTCTCAACCGCTCCGCCCTCCTTCAGCAAAACCTCCTCCTCCCCTTTCCCCGCCACAGCCACCCCCTTCCCCTTCTCCCCTCCCCCCAACACTGTGTACACCCCCCCCTGCTGCTCCCCCTTCCGCCCCTTGCTTTCCCCCCTAGCCCCGCCCTCCCACCCCGCGCCATGCGCCCTGCTGCCTCTTCCCCCAAACGAGTGGAGCAGATCATCCATGGTCTCTTTCACCTTCGCCTCGCCCAGTAGCTGAGTTACTGCTGCTGTTGCTTCTGCCCACTTGCCATGCTGAGGGTAGGGGCAGAGGAGAATTGAAGGTGGGGTAGTGGGGTATGGGAGGGATAGAGAGAGACAAATTCACTCCGAGCTGGTTTTTGAGAATTCTCAAATTCCACCTGACCCTCTACTCACCTGCGCCAGCCATCTTGGGCTGTCCACCAAGAAGTCACATGCCATGCAGAGCAACGCAGCTGGCACTGTTGCTGGTGCTGCTGCTACAAATCCCACCAAACTGCCAACCCTCAATTCCCCTGTCAACTCCCTCACCTGCGCAAGCCACCTGGGGCTGTCCACCAGGAATTCACATACCATGCAGAACAGCGCCGCTAGCGCAGATGCTGCGGACAGTGGTGGTACAGATGCCACCATACGACCAACCTTTAATCTCCCATGTCACCCTTCCCTCACCTGCGCAAGCCACCTGGGGCTGTCCACCAGAAACAATATGCCATGCAGAAGGGCGCTGGTGGCAATGGTAGTGACGCTACACCTTCCACACAACCAACAGTATGATCTTCCACCATCAGACCATCTCCTCACCTGCGCCAGCCACCTGGGGCTGTCCACCAGGAATTCACACGCCATGCAGAAGAGAGCTGCTGGCACTGCAGCGATCCAAAAGCACATGCGCCACCTGCACGTGAGGAGATAAAAAGAAAGATGCGAGAAAGACACGGGGGCAAGTCAATCACGAAGCACATATGTCTCAAGAGCAGAGCAGAGGCCAGAGGGGAAGAAGCGACAAGGCGGGAAGCAAGCACGCAGCGGCACTTATCACGTGCGGTAGCTTCGGGTAGCAAGTATAGTGCAGCAATCTCAGTGCGCCAAGCAGCAAGAGTGGGGAGGTAGCTTACGATGAGGTGGGCAGGAGAGCGGCAGCAAGCAGGGCGGCCAGAATGCCGGAGCATGTGAGGACTTGGGGGATAGCGCCAAACGTGCCTCTCTGCTGCGGTGGTGAGATCTGCAGAAGACGACGGAAGGGAAAATTGTGTGAGATAAAATTGAATGTTGGGGCGTGTAATGCAAGAAGTGTGGGTGCAAGCAGGGCTGAGAGAATGGCGCCCAACATGCTGGTGCACGTGGGAATTTTGAGGGATGGCGCCGCACCCAACATGCTCCTCTGCTGATGGGAATTTTCAGGGATGGCTCTAAACGTGCCTCTTTATTGGGAATTCACAAAAAAAATGTTTTACATACACCCAAACATAAGGACATGACAGAAGAAACACACCTCTTTTCCCTACGAGAGCCATGATGGGGATGGCCATGCCCAATACAAAGCCCAGCAGAAACCAAACTTCACAGACATACATGTTATGCGTGCGCGCTACACACACACACACCTCGGGAATGTAGAGCGCCATGATGGGGATGGCCATGCCCAATCCAAAGCCCAGCAGGAACCGGCCGGTGACGACCAGAGAAAGAGAGGACGCCATGGCACTGATGGGTCACGCACACACATAAGAAAAATCAGAGGCGAAATGTCCATTTAGTGAATATCAATCGCAAAGAAAATCCAAATGCAAGTGTGCCATGAAATCCAACAATATATCCATATATATATATATGTATAAACATATATATCCATATTGAAAAGAAAAAGACAAAGAAAAGGTATTAAAAAATAAAGAACACACGCACCAGAGAATGGAGCCAATCAGAATGGGCACACTGCAGATCTGGAACCCCTTTTTCCTGCCCGCGCTGTCAGCCACCGTGCTGCTGGCGGAACAACCCAGGAACGCTCCAAGTAGAAACACACTCACAACCGAAGCTGCACAAGGTATGGGGGAAAAAGGGGGGGGGAATCATTATCGTGGGTGCTGAAAATAAGGTTGTACTTCAGGCGCTCCTGGTAGAAAGACATTGGCAGCTGAAGCTGCGCAGGGAAGATCATTAAATGCTGGTAGCACATTATCAGATTGGGGGTACAATGCAAGAATTATAGGAAACTACGTTAACAGATGTAACTCTATTATATTGTAGAGACGTTATTTTTGGCGATAGCATTTTCTGCAAACAACAGCTCGACTGCCATGGACTCCAAAGGTCCATTCACCACTCTGCACAACGTACAGGAGGGTAGAAAAAAATGCTCCATATGATTATAATGGTATAAAATGAATTCCCATATTTCAAGAAAAAGTATAGGAAAAGAATCTTACTTTTCAATGCAAGTGTTACTACTTACGACATGTGGTAACCGAACAAGAACGCAATTATTGACGAAGTGAGCACATGAGGCAACACTCCCCGCCACGCCAGCGCCTTTCGCGGCGCTCCCCCCCCAACCGCCTTCCGTCGCCCTCCGCGCTGTTCCTTCCTGCCTAATAGTCCTGCCAATAATGCAGCACAGAATGTGGGAAGCAGCATACCACGTCGAAAATATGGAGCCCGTACAAAAAGAACGAGCTAGTTATTGGCAACGACACCCACTAGGAAAATCGCGCGCCGGATAGGAAACAACTTCATAAAGCCTCGCGAATCATTCTTCTTCTCAATTGCTCGCTCCTTCCCGTGTTTTATTGGGGTAAAGAGAAAACCAGAGCACAGCGCACTCACCTTGCGACAGCAACGGCCTCCCGAGATCGTTCTCCGTCGCACCCGGTTCCATCGCCTCCGTCGCCTGTTCGCCTCACTCCCCCTTCTCGCGTTCCTCGCGCCCCCCACGGCCCTCACGCGACGCGTACTCACCTTGCGACAGCAACGGCCTCCCGAGATCGTTCTCCGTCGCACCCGATTCCATCGCCTCCGTCGCGTGCTCGCCTCGCTCCTCGTCGCGTCCCTCGCGGCCCTCGCGTCCTTCCTCGGTCGACTCTGAAACGAAACCCGCGTGAGCCTTGCTGCTCCTAGCCTCGCGGCTCTCTCTGCTCTTGCTGATCCCCCCCGCTGCGGAGCTGGAAGCGGAGCGATCCGCGCGGTGTCCGTCGCGATCCGTGCCGCCCCGCTCTCCTCCGGCAGGAGTTGACGATGACGACAGCTTGCGACGCGGCGGCGGCGATTTCTGCGACCGGCCTGCGCGGAAAACGGCGTGCCAGAGAAGGTGAGAGGATCACAGGATTCGAGGCCGACGAGCAGAATGTGAATAATAAAATAAATAAACAGAAAAAAAAAAAATCCAGGTCGCATGTGAAATATGACATTCTTCGTCGGCTGGAGTGACGGCTTACAGAACCGTCATTACCTGTCGCGTCGTTTGGACCAAAAACCGCAGCGGTCACCGCACCTCCCCTCCGCGTTTTTCCAGTGAATCCGCGCCGCAGAAAAAACCCTCCGCTCGTGCCCTGAGACACACGTCAACGCGTACAAACGTGCACAGTGGAGCAGCGGGTGAGGCGCCGAATACATCACAGCACATCTAAGACCAGCACAGTGGACCACGACCGCACTCCTACTCTCCGCGCTACCAGCGCAACTCCTGCTGTCAGTGCCGATGCAACCTACTGCTGCCCTTGTTCGCGCGACCGTACGTGGCAATGAAAAAGCTTCGAGACGCACCTGGCTTCTGTCCTCGTTCGGTACGCCCGTCAGTCCGCTGGCGCCGTATGCAGCGGACCGTGGCACGTGCTGGATCGACGCTGGCACGTGGAGAGCGCGATGGCCGAATGCGGCCTCCGGATTGGTTGTTGGAATGGGCGCGCCGAATGCGCGCGCCACGCCGGAGTGTATGGAACCGCTCCCAAGTGAGCGAAGTGTATTGACAGCGGCGGGGTGCGGCATGCGATCCGAGCTCCCGTTTCCCAGAACCGACGAACCTGTCACACAAATAAAAACATATTCCACAAAAAGAAAAAAGAAAAAAAAATAGTACAAAAACCGCCGATGAAACTGTGATTCGATTGAATGAAAGATCTTTCCTGCGAGTAGGGACTCTGTTACGGAATGCTATTTAGTGATGAGAAAGAGGGACAGGAAAAGAAAAAATAGAAGGAAGGAGAAAGAAAATAAACTAAAAACTAAAAACGGCGCAAAGGAGACTCCGTGCAAATGCCGCGTTCGCTACGGACCGATAAGTTCAGCTGGCCCTAGGAGCTTACCACGAGAAGCCAGCAAGGTGCGGCGAGCACCCAGGCCCAGATCGGCCTGGCCCCAGCTCAACGCGGAATTCGACATCATCATCATCATCGTACGTCGACTGACCCAACTCTGCTCAGTGTTGATTGCCAATGTCTAAACTAACGTGTCGTATCACACGTCGGACTGAAAAAATAATATTTCTGTTCTAACAGAAATATATGAGCTTGGGAGACGAATACCAGAGATACCTATTCCGTGGAGCGAAATGGGTTGATCTGGTCGAATTGGGATCGAATAGCAAAGACTCGTTGCCTAGTAAGATCTAAAAATCCTACCTCGTAGAAGTAATCCTACTCGAAGGGTGACGGTCCACTAAGAAAGCACGCTCCGGCGGTCGGTCCCGACTTCTGGGAGGGGCTTCACAGATCCTTGGGGGATCCGTAAGACGTAGTCGCCAGCAGCAAACCGGCCAAGGCTAGTGTCCCTTGTGCGGGACGGAGAGTGCGCGACTCCAGCTTGGAAAGGATAAGGTCGAGGAAGCAGGGATGGTGGATGGATGTGTTGTGGTTTCCTGTCATGGAGGGGAGAACGAGTTATGAGAGTAGCGGAGGTGTAGGACTGGAAAGACGGGAGGGGCGAATTCACTGCGGCAGAGAGGAAGGCGGTATGGTAGGATCAGGGGTGATGGGGGAAGGGAGGGAGTGTATGGCACGGGCGAAATTTCGCGAAATTGCAGCGACAAGAAGAATTCTCTTGAATTTGCCGTACACGTGGCGCAAGCGGGCTGCATGTGAGGCATTTCTGACCAATCGAGCGGGACATGACGACAGTCACGAAGGGTCGCGACACCTGGAGAAATGTGCGGCTCGTCCAGGCGCTCCGAGTCGAGAGCGCAAGCATGCTTGCTATTGGTTGATACCACGAGAGAATTCCGTAAGGAAAGCAGGCACGGCGGAGGTTTCTGTTCGTGATAACGAGTATAAGGCGACTTCGTTATGAGTGTTGAAAGTCCTTACATTATACTCACAAATTCACAAAACCCCATAGCATTGTCTTTTTTATGAAGTGCTTTTGTACTTGCTACTACGCAGAGAAGCCATTGTCGGACTTCAACTTCATGACATTCACTGGTGTGGAATTATCCACGTGTCGAGATATAACCAGCGAGTTTGATACGGCCCCAGCATAAGCACTCGGCCACGTGCCCGTAAGTTCCTAGCTGGCAGGTAAGATGTCCACGTAGGAGAAGTTTCACATTCGGGGAACTGCCGAATCATAGAACATTCACCCACCCAACCAATCAAGGAGGGAGAACAGAGTGACAGGATTCTGGCGTTTCCCCCCCACATCGGAAGAACACAGGCGCGCGCGCCCTCACCACGCACGGTCCACGCCGCGGACCCTGGTAGCATGCCATCGCGATTCCGCAATGGTAGGCGAACAAGCGCGACAAATTTACTTTTCGACCTCCACACCTCGATTCGCTTTCACATTTTTCAGGCACTGTCGAAGCAGGTTTGTGTCCCAGATTCTCCTGGTTACGCTAAAACTGAGAACTATCATTCGCGAACTCTCGCGAAGTCGCGTTTGACTTCCCGAATTCGCCCCTAAAATCTCGCTTCTTCCAGCTCCTTCTAGCGCCATCCGCCAATTTCCAGAACATTCCGCCTCCCCTTTGCCAGAGCAAGCCCGCCCTCATGATCACCTCAGTATAAATACCTGAGGTAGCAGCAAGCAATGCATCAAAATCTACTGCTCTTCAAAAGCTTCGTAGCAAACTACTTACTCTTCACAACTGCTCTTGGTTATCTTCACCCTATCGAATTTGTTTCATTTTTCTACTTTCCAAAGTCATTGTTTTCTGATTTTGCTGAAACGCCATGGATCCCAACTCCTTCACGCACAAAACCAACGAAATCCTCGTCGCGGCGCGCGAGCTCGCCGAGTCCAACGGCCACGCGGAAATCACGCCAGCCCACGTGGCGCTCGCGCTTCTGCAGGACGAAGACGGCGTTTTCCGCCACGCTGTCGCGCATTCCAGCGTCATCAACTACAACGCGACCGCGCCCGGCCATTCCCCGAGGGGCGATGGCGACACGATTCAAGCCTTCCAGCGAGCGATTAAACGCCTCCTGCAGAAAATCCCCTCGCAGCAACCTCCGCCAGATGAAATCCACGCGAACCCCGCGCTCGTGAAGGCGCTGCGAAAGGCGCAGCAGATCCAAAAGAAGGCGGGAGACTCGCATCTGGCCGTCGATTCTCTCGTGCTCGCGTTGATGGAAGATTCGCAGATCTCCGAGGCAATGAAGGACGCGGGAGTGAATGCGGGAAAGGTGCAAGCGGCGCTGGCGCAGGCGCGCGGGGAGCGGAAGGTGGAGAGCGCTACGGCGGAGGGGACTTTCCAAGCGCTGAAGAAATTCGGGCGGGACTTGGTCGAGGTTGCGGCGAAACTCGACCCCGTGATTGGCCGCGATGACGAAATCCGGCGAGTCGTGCGAATTCTTTCGCGAAGGACGAAGAACAACCCGGTGCTGATCGGCGAACCGGGCGTCGGCAAAACCGCGGTCGCGGAGGGCCTCGCGCAGCGCATCGCCCGCGGCGACGTGCCGAGCAACCTGCAGAACGTGCGGCTCGTCGCGCTCGACATGGGCGCGCTTGTCGCGGGAGCGAAATACCGCGGAGAGTTCGAGGAGCGAGTTAAAGCCGTCCTTAAAGAGGTGGAGGAAGGCGAAGGCCGGATCATCCTCTTCATCGACGAGATGCATTTAATTCTCGGCGCGGGCCGCACGGAGGGCGCCATGGATGCGGCGAATCTCTTCAAGCCCATGCTCGCGCGCGGGCAGCTGCGCTGCATCGGCGCGACGACGCTCGAGGAATACCGAAAGTACATCGAGAAGGACGCGGCGTTCGAGCGGCGCTTCCAGCAGGTGCTTGTAGCGGAGCCATCTGTAGCGGATACGATCAGCATACTCCGCGGGCTGCGCGAGCGCTACGAGGGGCACCACGGCGTGCGCATCCAGGATCGCGCGCTCGTCGTCGCGGCGCAGCTCAGCGGAAGGTACATCACGGGGAGACGCCTTCCGGACAAGGCGATCGACCTCGTCGACGAAGCGTGCGCGAACGTTCGGGTTACCCTAGACAGCCAACCAGAGGAGATTGATGCGCTCGAGCGGAAGCGCATTCAGCTGGAAGTGGAGTTACATGCGCTGGAGAAGGAAAAGGACAAGGCGAGCGCGGTCCGCGCGGGGGAGGTGCGCGCGCAGCTCGGCGAGCTGCGCGACAAGCTGCAGCCGCTGCAGATGCGATACCGGCGGGAGAAGGAGCGCGTCGACGAGCTGCGGCGGCTCCAGCGGAAGCGCGAGGAGGTGCTCGTCGCGGTGCAGGAGGCCGAGGCGCGCATGGACCTCGCGCGCGTCGCGGATCTGAAGTACGGAGCGCTCACCGAGCTCGACGCCGCCATTGCGCGCTACGAGAAGGAGGCGGAGGCCGCAGCGGCGGCGCAAGCTGACGCGGCAGGCCCGGGGAAGCCGATGCTGACGGAAACCGTCGGTCCGGATCAGATCGCGGAGGTCGTCAGTCGCTGGACTGGTATCCCGGTTACCAGACTCGGGCAGAACGACCGCGAGCGGCTGTTACACCTGGCGCAGCGGCTTCACGAGCGCGTGGTGGGGCAGGACGAGGCGGTCCAAGCCGTTGCCGAGGCTGTGCTTCGGTCCCGAGCCGGGCTCAGCAGGCCCGGGCAGCCGACCGGCTCGTTCCTGTTCCTCGGCCCGACCGGTGTGGGGAAAACGGAGCTGGCGAAAGCTCTCGCCGAACAGCTATTCGACGACGAAAACCAGCTGGTTCGCATCGACATGAGCGAATACATGGAACAGCACAGCGTCGCGAGGCTAATCGGTGCTCCGCCGGGCTACGTAGGGCACGAAGAGGGGGGTCAGCTTACAGAAGCGGTGCGGAGGCGGCCGTATTCTGTCGTTTTGTTCGATGAGGTGGAGAAAGCGCATACGTCGGTTTGGAACACGCTTCTGCAAGTTCTGGACGACGGGCGGCTGACTGACGGAAGAGGTCGCACCGTCGATTTCAGCAACACTGTGATCATCATGACTTCGAATTTGGGCGCGCAGCATTTGCTGGCTGGGCTGTCAGGAGAGGTTGGGATGGACGAGGCCAAGAAGGAGGTTCTGGCGGAGGTTCGGAAGCACTTCCGCCCGGAGCTGCTGAACAGGCTCGACGAAATGGTGGTGTTTGAGCCGCTGTCGCTCCTGGAGTTGAGGAAAATCGCGCGGCTGCAGATGCGCCAGGTGGCGGCCAGGCTGGCGGATCGGGGGATCGCCCTCGGGGTTTCAGATGGGGCCTTAGATGTTGTCTTGAAGGAGGCTTATGATCCGGTGTATGGGGCGCGGCCGCTGAGGCGATGGCTGGAGCGGAAAGTGGTTACCCAGCTCTCTAAGATGCTGGTCGAAGGGAAGATTGATGATAACTGCACTGTTTTCATCGACGCTCAGGGTGGTGCTGGTGATGGTGTGGGGGAGAATGGGATTGCGGATGAGGAGGCGATAAGTGGGTTGGTGTATCGGGTGGAAAAGACCGGGGGGATAGCGGCTGAGAAGGCCAAGGGGCGGCTTGGGGAGTTTTTGGTGCAGCCTGCTGATGCGGATGGTGGGGGGAAGAGGGCTAAGGTTGATGATGAGGATGATGACGTGGATGATATGGAGGATTGAAGAGGAGTGGGGAAAGCAGCTGAGAAAGCCAAGGGGAGATTCTTTGCAGCTGCTGCTGAGGCTGATGGTGGGGGGAAGAGGGCTAAGGTTGATGATAGGGATGATGCTGTGGATGAGATGGAAGATTGAGGGGGGATGGGTAAGCATGGAAGATCTGGAGTGAGGTGATGCAGATTACTGAAGGAGAAAAGGGAGCTTGGGGAGTTTAAGGGTGCAGCCTGCTGAGACTGATGGTGGGGGGAAGAGGGCCAAGGTGGATGATATAGCGGATCGAGGGAGAGGGGAGATGGTGAGGAAGGAAGTCGTGATGTGAGGGAATGCAGATTACCCACGGTGGGTAAGGGGAGGCGAAGTGAGTTTCTGGTGCAGCCTGCTGATGGGGATGATGGGGGGAAGAGGGCTAAGGTTCATGATGAGGATGATACGGCGGATTGAGGGAGAGATGGTACGGATAGGAGTTCGGATGTGGAGGTGAGGGCAAATCACCTAGGATGGTGCGTTTGAATGCATCATTGTAATCTTATTGCTAGGTATTCCATTGCTTTATTCGGTTTTGTGGAGAAGCCCAGAATTCTGTGTATGAAAGTAACACCATGTATATGCATTTACACAATCAAGTGTACACATATCTGCAAGAGCATGTGTAACACTCAATTGTACACCATGTATTTGGGTGTAGCGCTGAACTTCTGGTACCCCTTGATGACCTTGTTGACTGCCTCCAAAAAGTCCTTCTCGGTGACAGTCTTGCGCCGTGCTCTGATGGCATACATGCCTGCCTCCGTGCACACACTGCGGATGTCAGCTCCTGCATGAAGGAAAGGGAGACAGTAGAAGGGATAAGCACACATGGAAAGTCTTTCTCAGTCACTGTCTTGCACCGCACCCTGATGGCATACATGCCTGCCTCCATGCACACACTGCGGATGTCAGATCCTGTAGGGGCAAAAGGAACACATGGGTAGCACGTAGGGATCTGCACGCAATAGTCCTTCTTCTTGACTACCTTGCGCCATGCCCTGATGGCACACACACCCACCTCAGTGCACACACTGCGTATGCACACACTGCGTATGCGAGCTCCTTTCAGTCCATTCATGTTGCAAATGTGAACGTGTGAGTGCCCTCAGTGGTGTGCAAGGTCCCTAGTGAGACTTGAGTGGTGTGACACACAACCACCCGTGGAGAAAGGCAAGCAACTAGATCGGACGTCGCTGTTCACAGTTAATGGCGCGAGTGTGAATCTTGAAGATGTGCTCTGAAGATGAAGCTTTGGCTTATATGTGCGAGGACCCAGAGAGACGTAAACAGACAACAGGAGCTCACCAGTGGAGTTCGGGCAGAGCCTGGCCAGCAACTCAAATCGAATGTCCCGTTCACAGTTCATAGTGCGAGTGTGAATCTTGAAGATGTGTGTTCGGCCTTCCAGGTCTGGCAGCCCGAACTCCACCTTTCGGTCGAGGCGACCGGGGCGCAGGAGAGCAGGGTCAAGAGTATCAGGCCTGGAAGGAGGATAATGATATGAGCGGGAGTGGCAGGAAAGCAGTGACAGGAAGTTAGATAAGTTCACCCCTCCAGGTCCGGCATGAGGACCTTGATGTTCCCGCGTGCATCAAACCCGACCAACAGGTTTACAATCTCCAGCATCGTGCGCTGCACCTCTCATTGTCCTCTTGAAAGCATAGTCTCACTCACCATACCAGCTGCCGCCAACCAGCCAGCTGTTTGCATACCTGTTGGTGGCCATGAGGACCTTGATATTGCCGCGTGCATCAAATCCATCCAGCTGATTCACAACCTCCAGCATCGTGCGCTGCACCTCGTTGTCACCTTGCAAGCATGGGATCGCCATACCAGCGGATGCAGCAAGTTGGGAAGCATACCTGTTGGTGGCCATGAGGACCTTGATGTTCCCACGCGCATCAAACCCATCCAGCTGATTCACGATCTCAAGCATCGTGCGCTGCACCTCGTTGTCTCCGCCCGCTCCATCGTCAAACCTAGCCCCTCCGATGGCATCAACTTCATCAAAGAAGATGATGCACGCCTTCTTGGAACGAGCCATCTGCGAGGGGCGAATAGAGGAGGATATAGGTAGGTGGCAGGGTCGAGCAAGGGAGGGAGGGAGGCACAGAAGTGGGTTCTGCCCTCCGATGGCGTCGACCTCATCAAAGAATATGTTGCACGCCTTCTTGGAGCGCACCATCTGTGAGGGGGGAGTAGAAGGACACGCAGGACACAAGAGGGGAGTTAGACAAGTAAATCACGCCCCTCCGATGACGTCCACCTCATCGAAGAATATGATGCACGCCTTCTTGGAGCGCGCCATCTGAATGATAGGGTACCGGAGACAAGGGGGGACGGGATGAGGTGGCAAGAATGATACAGGGAGGGATGCAGGGGTTCTGGCCTCCAACGGTGCCCACTTTGTCAAAAACGATCATCCTCGCCTTCTTGGAGCGAGCCATCTCGAGAGCAGGCAAGGCAAGCAACGGAAGCGACACGGCATTTCGACTCAGTGAAAAGCCATATACTGACCGTGCAGCACCAGACTAGTGTTCTCACCTGGAACAGCTCTCGAACCATCCTCGCTCCTTCGCCCACGTATTTCTGCACCAGCTCGCTGCCTATAACGCGGATAAAGCAGGCATCCGTGCGGTTCGCCACAGCGCGCGCCAGCAGGGTCTTGCCGGTGCCGGGTGGTCCGTAGCACAGCACGCCCTTGGGAGGGTCGATGCCCAGCTTCACAAACTTCTCAGGATGCAGCATAGGTAGCTCCACCACCTGGGGTTGTGAGAGTGTATGTGATGCGATGTATGAGTGTGCGAGACTGTGTTAGGGAGGGAAAGTGGGCCGTAGCACAGCACGCCCTTGGGGGGGGGTTGATACCAAGCTTCACAAAATTCTCTGGATGCAGCATGGGGAGCTCCACCACCTGAGAGTATATGTGTGTGGCGAGAAGAAGTGAGGTGTGGGACGGATACAAGGGAGGGTGGGCCGTAGCACAGCACACCCTTGGGGGGGTCGATTCCCAGCTTCACGAACTTCTCAGAGTGGAGCATGAGGAGCTCCAACAGCTGAGGGAGTGTGTGGCGAAAACATGAATGCATGGGCAGGCGTGAGGGAGATCGGGCCGTAGCACAGCACGCCCTTGGGGTGGGGAGGTGGATGCCCAGCTAGCCGAACCTCTCCAGATGCAGGATGGGAAGTTCCACCACCTGTGGTGTGGGTGAGTGTAAGTTTGAGTGTGTGCGAATGAGTTGTAAGACAGACTGGAAAGTAGCAGCGCACACCCTTCCACGCGATGGCTGATTCACACACCCCTCACTCTCTTTCACCCACAGCCTCACTCCTCCATCCCTCCACCCACCTCTCGCATCTTCTCAATCTGCTCCTTGCATCCGCCCACGTCCCCGTAGGTAACGTCCGGTTTCTCCTCCACTGTCATCATCGTCACACTCGGGTCGATCTTGGGCGGCAGGGGAATCTGGATTTGATACTTGTTGCGATCCACTCTGCACAAGGGCAACAATATAGGCATGCATAGAGAGTGTCCTAGCATGAAAAGGAAACATACTGCAGCTGCTTACGAGACAAATCAGTCGTACTAGTGCTGCTTAGTTGGATCAACTCAGGTGAAGCCACCAGCAACAGGGCATCACCAGATGACGGGAAGATGGCATGGTGGTGGATGGCATGAAATGGCACACACACACACGCACTCACCCCACACGCATGCCCTCCTCAATATCAGTCGGTGAGACGCGCCCCATCACCACTATTGAGGCACCTCAAACCTCCCATGCTCGCACTCACCCCACTTTCATGCTCGCACTCACCCGACTCGCATGCCCTCCTCAATATCAGTCGGTGAGACGCGGTCACCCAACCCCACCACGAACTGCACACAGCACGCACGCACACAGCAAGCACACACAGCAAGCACGCACACAGCAAGCACACACAGCACACACAGCAAGCACACAGGAAGCACACACACAGCAAGCACACACGCAGCAAGCACACACACAAGCACACACACAGCAAGCACACACAGCAAGCACACACAGCAAGCACACACAGCAAGCACACACAGCAAGCACACACAGCAAGCACACACAGCAAGCAAACACAGCAAGCAAACACAGCAAGCAAACACACAGCAAGCACGCACACAGCAAGCAAAAACACAGCAAGCACACATACACAGCAAGCACACACACAGCACGCACACACAGCAGTACACACCGCACGCACACGCAGCAAGCACACACGGTTTACGATGCAACCAATGAAACAACGGAGATTCTGAACCTGCATGCGAAGAGCGGACACAGACTGACTAACAAAGACGTCAATAACACGGCTGCATAACACAAGAAGAATCTTAAGATGGCACACGGAATATCAAGGGATTCATATATTGGCAGTCAAAGGTCGTGTGTGTGCAAGGGGTGAGGGGGAAAAGGTGGGGAAGGGGTGGGGAAGGGGTGGGGAAGGGGAGGGGGAGGGGGTTGGGATTTGGGGTCAAGGAAGTGCGGAGAGAGAGACGAAAGGGAGAGCATTCAGGGAGTCCTGGCATAAAGAGGGAAAGCGCGCACCTTAGCAATCTGCTTCACATTGATGACGTATTTGGCGTCATCTGTGTTGGGGTTGATGATCTTCGTGCAGCGCGCCACCTGGCAGGACGAGAGGGGAGAGGCGGAAGGAGGAAGAAAAGAGGAGAGGAGAGAGGAGAGGAGTGAGTGAAAAGAAGAAAGGGGAATGAAAAGAGCACTGGTTGAACGATGAGATCGAGGAAAGTGAGCTGGTTTGAGTCAGGCGTGCTCAGTCGGTCAGGCGTGCTCAGTCAGTCAGGCGTAATCAGTCAGACGTGATCAGTCAGGCACGCTCATTCAGTCAATTGTGGTCAGTCAGTCAGGCGTGCTCAGTAAGTTGTAAAAAAGCAAGCCTAATGGGTGTGCTTGCCTGCAGCGGCTGCTCTTCCTGCATCATCTGTTTGTCCGACACTAGATCCCACTGGCTTGGTGCAGCCAATCCAGTATCCGACTCCTTGATCCCTGCAGTGGAAACATAACAGACATTCAGGCGACATCATGTGACATAAAGCGGCATCAGGCGATGTCAAGCGACACAGAGCGACATACGACGAGATCATGTGGCAACAGATAGCACCAGCGTACAGGAGGCGACATCAGGTGACATCGGCGATATCAAGTAAAGAACCGGAGCACAAAGATAGAGAGCAACGAATTCCAATGTCCAGCTTCCTTATCAAACAGATTAAAAGTCTTCTAGGTATAATCTGGGTCACTAGGATGACAATTCCCGAGAAAGAGCTGGAGCTAACGTGCTTGATCCATTAGAAACAGAAATTCACACTCTATACGTGACGAATTCGTCTCTTGAACGGATCAGGCAGCTTTTGCTCCTTGTCGACCGCTGCCAGGACGATAAGAATGCGCTCAACTCGTAACGAAGGTTGACGGACAGCTGACGGACAACTCGAAATGAAGGTTGACGGACAGCTGACGGACAACTGACGGACCGCAGATGGACCGTTACCAGCATCACGACTCTGAGCACGCAGTCAATCATCGGCAGCAACATAGTCGAACACTCAAGAGCCTTCGACTTACCACATAGGTCGTTGACCTTCTTGGCCATGTCCTTAATATCCTTCTCAACCTTCTTGATAGACGTTGAGTACGGGCCAAGACCCTACACGTTGAAATAAATCGGGGAAAAGGAAAGAGGAAGCAGTCGAAACTATTCAAGGGTGGAAGCTTGATTGTCGAACGACTGAATTACGTAACGATCTGAACACAAGAAAGGTTGACGAATCGGCTCCAGACATCTGCAGAAAATCTGAACGGCACTGAAGCCTCCCTACGCAATAGTCTCCTATCCTAAGGTCCCAGCTAAACGCACATAGGTCTTTAGAAGAGCAATATCGACCTCATCGAGACGTCTAATCGAACTCATCTAAAACGCATGCCAACGCACATAGGTCTTTAGAAGAGCGATATCGTCCTCATCGAGGGCCGGCGGGTTCTTCTCATCGAGATCAGGATCAATTTCCGGCATGATGGCCGCTCGCGCGCACGGAAAATATCGGTACTTGCAATACTAGACCGCCGACCCGACGGCCGAGTTTAGATAACAGAGGATGCGAGCGTGAGATCTAAGAGAGAGCGAGCACAAGACCGAAGAAATCACAATTAGGAGGCGAGCCTTGGGAATTTACAACTTCGCTTTGACTGTTGTTTTGGAGGAGGGGGGAAGGAAGGGGAATCTCTAGGCTTCGTCTGCTGATTGCCGCGCTTACAGTACAGTGCGTGCTCCACTGTACCCCTTTATGAATCTAGCATGTTAGTACACACATTTGTAGCACTCATTACAACCTCCATTTCTTGTTGCACCCTCTTACTGGTACCTTCAACTCAAGCTATGGAGGATGGCTGCATTTGTATATTTTGATCACCGTACTTACGATAAACAATCTGGTCTCACATACTGAGTTTCGTCTTTTTACATGGAACACTAGCACTGAAAAGGTACCTAATCTTGTATTAGAATGGCAATGGCCAGCCTTCAACTGACGTAAGTTTTTTGTACGCCTCTTGAAGCTTCTGCGTGATGGGCCCAACACAGCTTCCACTATCAGCTCTGCTACAACTGTTATCAAGGTTGTTTCCGATTGGACGACTGTCCAGAAGCACACAGGGCGTAAGCTCCCCCATAGTCCCTGTTGTGAATATCTGGAAAGGGGACGACGCACCAGATAAAGGGAAATGTTTACGAAAAAAAAAGGGAGCGGAAAGAAAACAAACGAGAACTTGTACCAAAACTTGATTGACGTCGTGCTTGTCTAGCATGATCACAGAGTTCAGGCCATGTATCGCACCTCATCAGCAGCGTGCAGCTGACCCATGGTGATGTTGCACTCCTGAATGGGAATATCTTCCTGTCTTACATTCTCAGGCACCTCAAACGTGTCTCCCCCTCATGCCTCACCTCATCAGCAGCGTGCAGCTGACCCATGGTGATGTTGCACTCCTGAATGGGGATGCCTTCCTGCCTTGCCAGCTCCATTACCTGTCACGCATGGGTGAATAGAGGGTGTCATGATGTGACCCTGGGAAATACAACATGGCAAGCATGCATGCATGCACATGCTACATGTGCAGTGTATGATGCTCATCCTCCTGAAATGCATGGTCAGTACCACTGCTCTCCTCACACATCTCCATTCCCACTTATCTCCCCTTGATTCCTCAGGTGATTCCTCAGGTGATTCCTCTAGCAGATCCTTCCTCCCTTCTTACCACCCCACCTCCCACATAAAGTCCCCATGCAGTACCGTGGCGCGGGTGATCCCTGGCAGGCAGCTGTCGGCATGGGGAGTCAGAATGCGCCCTCTCTTCACCATGAACTGGCATGTGTGCATGGCAGGGACGGGGGGAAGAAGAGGGAGGGGAGGCGGAGGAAAGAGGGGGTGGGGAGTCAGAATGCGCCCTCTCTTCACCATGAACTGGCATGTATGCATGGCAGGGACGGGGGGAAGAAGAGGGAGGGGAGGCGGAGGAAAAAAAGGCGAGGGGAGTCAAGATGTGGTCTCTCTTCACCATGAACTGACATATACAGAGGCAGGGACAGTGGGAAGAGATGGGAAGAGGGGAAAAAGAGTCAGAATGCGCCCTCTCTTCACCATGAAGTGACACATGCGAGTGGGTACAAGTTGGGTAGCGAGATGGGGGAAAGTAGAAGAGCAGAGTCAGCTAAGGAAGGAGAGAGGGGAGGGAAGAGGGGAGGGAGGGACGGGCAGCGGTAATACAAGAAATTCAAAACAAATACGGTTATCAACACACTATTATGCACATACAGCAATACTGTATCATCGTACAATGCACAAGGCACTGAAGGGCTAGGAGTATGCGTACGATGTTGGTGGCGTTGGTTTCACTGACATATCCATGCACATCCAGCATCACTGCATCGTCTGCCCCTGCGTTGTTCCCCTCGATCTGGCTCAAAGCTCACCAGGGTCAAAGCTCACAAAAAATTGGCTCAACAATAGTGGAATGGCTAAGGCCTGAATGGCTGTAGGTGAAAAAATGGGTGCTCAAACCAAAAAGAGGATGTCAATTCCTGTAATGAGATGAACACGAGCAGCAACTTATTCACCGAAATTAATTCGCGAACATTAATAAATTTCACGGATTGCTGCTTTGCCATCACAACTGCGAGAATATGAAAACGCTGCAGATTACACCTCTACGGGCCAATTACCTTAGCGAGGATGTTATTAATGAGGTTGTTGTGATGGATGTGCGAATCAACACACTGAATAGAGCAGGGACGGAGGAAGAGGGCCAGTCAATAAGGGAGACACAGGGGAAATCAGAGTCAACAAAATAGGCAGGGCAACAAGATTTCTGTGGTGAATGTGCAAACGCATCCACCATACTGCTTTAAAAGTAGGATAAAGGAATGGTGAACGAGGGAGAGAAGGGGGTACGGGGGTCAGTCAATGAGAGAAGGAAGGTCTATGGGTGATGAGATAGCAGAATTTTTGAGGCGCCTCAAAAGACGATTTTTGAGGCGCCTCAAAAATCGGGGGTCAGTCAATGAGAGAAGGCAAGTCTACGGGTGATGAGACCCATAGAAGGCAGGTCAATAAGAGAAGGCAGGTGTATGGGTGATGAGACCCATAGAAGGCAGGTCAATGAGAGAAGGCAGGTGTATGGGTGATGAGACCCATAGAAGGCAGGTCAATGAGAGAAGGCAGGTGTATGGGTGATGAGACCCATAGAAGGCAGGTCGATGAGAGAAGGCAGGTGTATGGGTGATGAGACCCATAGAAGGCAGGTCAATGAGAGAAGGCAGGTGTATGGGTGATGAGACCCATAGAAGGCAGGTCAATGAGAGAAGGCAGGTCTATGGGTGATGAGACCCATAGAAGGCAGGTGTATGGGTGATGAGACCCATAGAAGGCAGGTGTATGGGTGATGAGACCCATAGAAGGCAGGTCAATGAGAGAAGGCAGGTCTTTGGGTGATGAGACCCATAGAAGGCAGGTCAATGAGAGAAGGCAGGTCTATGGGTGATGAGACCCATAGAAGGCAGGTCAATGAGAGAAGGCAGGTGTATGGGTGATGAGACCCATAGAAGGCAGGTCAATGAGAGAAGGCAGGTCTATGGGTGATGAGACCCATAGAAGGCAGGTCAATGAGAGAAGGCAGGTGTATGGGTGATGAGATCCATAGAAGGCAGGTCAATGAGAGAAGGCAGGTCTATGGGTGATGAGACCCATAGAAGGCAGGTCAATGAGAGAAGGCAGGTGTATGGGTGATGAGACCCATAGAAGGCAGGTCAATGAGAGAAGGCAGGTGTATGGGTGATGAGACCCATAGAAGGCAGGTCAATGAGAGAAGGCAGGTCTACGGGTGATGAGACCCATAGAAGGCAGGTCAATGAGAGAAGGCAGGTGTATGGGTGATGAGACCCATAGAAGGCAGGTCAATGAGAGAAGGCAGGTGTATGGGTGATGAGACCCATAGAAGGCAGGTCAATGAGAGAAGGCAGGTCTATGGGTGATGAGACCCATAGAAGGCAGGTCAATGAGAGAAGGCAGGTCTATGGGTGATGAGACCCATAGAAGGCAGGTGTATGGGTGATGAGACCCATAGAAGGCAGGTCTATGGGTGATGAGACCCATAGAAGGCAGGTCAATGAGAGAAGGCAGGTCTATGGGTGATGAGACCCATAGAAGGCAGGTCAATGAGAGAAGGCAGGTCTATGGGTGATGAGACCCATAGAAGGCAGGTCAATGAGAGAAGGCAGGTCTATGGGTGATGAGACCCATAGAAGGCAGGTCAATGAGAGAAGGCAGGTGTATGGGTGATGAGACCCATAGAAGGCAGGTCAATGAGAGAAGGCAGGTCTATGGGTGATGAGACCCATAGAAGGCAGGTCAATGAGAGAAGGCAGGTGTATGGGTGATGAGACCCATAGAAGGCAGGTCAATGAGAGAAGGCAGGTGTATGGGTGATGAGACCCATAGAAGGCAGGTCAATGAGAGAAGGCAGGTCTATGGGTGATGAGACCCATAGAAGGCAGGTGTATGGGTGATGAGACCCATAGAAGGCAGGTCAATGAGAGAAGGCAGGTCTATGGGTGATGAGACCCATAGAAGGTAGGTCAATGAGAGAAGGCAGGTCTATGGGTGATGAGACCCATAGAAGGCAGGTGTATGGGTGATGAGACCCATAGAAGGCAGGTGTATGGGTGATGAGACCCATAGAAGGCAGGTCAATGAGAGAAGGCAGGTGTATGGGTGATGAGACCCATAGAAGGCAGGTCAATGAGAGAAGGCAGGTGTATGGGTGATGAGACCCATAGAAGGCAGGTCAATGAGAGAAGGCAGGTCTATGGGTGATGAGACCCATAGAAGGCAGGTCAATGAGAGAAGGCAGGTCTATGGGTGATGAGACCCATAGAAGGCAGGTGTATGGGTGATGAGACCCATAGAAGGCAGGTGTATGGGTGATGAGACCCATAGAAGGCAGGTCAATGAGAGAAGGCAGGTCTATGGGTGATGAGACCCATAGAAGGCAGGTCAATGAGAGAAGGCAGGTCTATGGGTGATGAGACCCATAGAAGGCAGGTCAATGAGAGAAGGCAGGTCTATGGGTGATGAGACCCATAGAAGGCAGGTCAATGAGAGAAGGCAGGTGTATGGGTGATGAGACCCATAGAAGGCAGGTCAATGAGAGAAGGCAGGTCTATGGGTGATGAGACCCATAGAAGGCAGGTCAATGAGAGAAGGCAGGTGTATGGGTGATGAGACCCATAGAAGGCAGGTCAATGAGAGAAGGCAGGTGTATGGGTGATGAGACCCATAGAAGGCAGGTCAATGAGAGAAGGCAGGTCTATGGGTGATGAGACCCATAGAAGGCAGGTGTATGGGTGATGAGACCCATAGAAGGCAGGTCAATGAGAGAAGGCAGGTGTATGGGTGATGAGACCCATAGAAGGCAGGTCAATGAGAGAAGGCAGGTCTATGGGTGATGAGACCCATAGATGGCAGGTCAATGAGAGAAGGCAGGTCTATGGGTGATGAGACCCATAGAAGGCAGGTCAATGAGAGAAGGCAGGTCTATGGGTGATGAGACCCATAGAAGGCAGGTCAATGAGAGAAGGCAGGTGTATGGGTGATGAGACCCATAGAAGGCAGGTCAATGAGAGAAGGCAGGTCTATGGGTGATGAGACCCATAGAAGGCAGGTCAATGAGAGAAGGCAGGTGTATGGGTGATGAGACCCATAGAAGGCAGGTCAATGAGAGAAGGCAGGTGTATGGGTGATGAGACCCATAGAAGGCAGGTCAATGAGAGAAGGCAGGTCTATGGGTGATGAGACCCATAGAAGGCAGGTCAATGAGAGAAGGCAGGTCTATGGGTGATGAGACCCATAGAAGGCAGGTGTATGGGTGATGAGACCCATAGAAGGCAGGTGTATGGGTGATGAGACCCATAGAAGGCAGGTCAATGAGAGAAGGCAGGTCTATGGGTGATGAGACCCATAGAAGGCAGGTCAATGAGAGAAGGCAGGTCTATGGGTGATGAGACCCATAGAAGGCAGGTCAATGAGAGAAGGCAGGTCTATGGGTGATGAGACCCATAGAAGGCAGGTCAATGAGAGAAGGCAGGTGTATGGGTGATGAGACCCATAGAAGGCAGGTCAATGAGAGAAGGCAGGTCTATGGGTGATGAGACCCATAGAAGGCAGGTCAATGAGAGAAGGCAGGTGTATGGGTGATGAGACCCATAGAAGGCAGGTCAATGAGTGAAGGCAGGTGTATGGGTGATGAGACCCATAGAAGGCAGGTCAATGAGAGAAGGCAGGTGTATGGGTGATGAGACCCATAGAAGGCAGGTCAATGAGAGAAGGCAGGTCTATGGGTGATGAGACCCATAGAAGGCAGGTCAATGAGAGAAGGCAGGTCTATGGGTGATGACATCCATAGAAGGCAGGTCAATGAGAGAAGGCAGGTCTATGGGTGATGACACCCATAGAAGGCAGGTGTATGGGTGATGAGACCCATAGAAGGCAGGTCAATGAGAGAAGGCAGGTGTATGGGTGATGAGACCCATAGAAGGCAGGTCAATGAGAGAAGGCAGGTGTATGGGTGATGAGACCCATAGAAGGCAGGTCAATGAGAGAAGGCAGGTCTATGGGTGATGAGACCCATAGAAGGCAGGTGTATGGGTGATGAGACCCATAGAAGGCAGGTCAATGAGAGAAGGCAGGTGTATGGGTGATGAGACCCATAGAAGGCAGGTCAATGAGAGAAGGCAGGTCTATGGGTGATGAGACCCATAGAAGGTAGGTCAATGAGAGAAGGCAGGTCTATGGGTGATGAGACCCATAGAAGGCAGGTGTATGGGTGATGAGACCCATAGAAGGCAGGTGTATGGGTGATGAGACCCATAGAAGGCAGGTCAATGAGAGAAGGCAGGTCTATGGGTGATGAGACCCATAGAAGGCAGGTCAATGAGAGAAGGCAGGTGTATGGGTGATGAGACCCATAGAAGGCAGGTCAATGAGAGAAGGCAGGTGTATGGGTGATGAGACCCATAGAAGGCAGGTCAATGAGTGAAGGCAGGTGTATGGGTGATGAGACCCATAGAAGGCAGGTCAATGAGAGAAGGCAGGTCTATGGGTGATGAGACCCATAGAAGGCAGGTCAATGAGAGAAGGCAGGTGTATGGGTGATGAGACCCATAGAAGGCAGGTCAATGAGAGAAGGCAGGTCTATGGGTGATGAGACCCATAGAAGGCAGGTCAATGAGAGAAGGCAGGTCTATGGGTGATGAGACCCATAGAAGGCAGGTCAATGAGAGAAGGCAGGTCTATGGGTGATGAGACCCATAGAAGGCAGGTGTATGGGTGATGAGACCCATAGAAGGCAGGTCTATGGGTGATGAGACCCATAGAAGGCAGGTCTATGGGTGATGAGACCCATAGAAGGCAGGTGTATGGGTGATGAGACCCATAGAAGGCAGGTGTATGGGTGATGAGACCCATAGAAGGCAGGTGTATGGGTGATGAGACCCATAGAAGGCAGGTGTATGGGTGATGAGACCCATAGAAGGCAGGTGTATGGGTGATGAGACCCATAGAAGGCAGGTGTATGGGTGATGAGACCCATAGAAGGCAGGTGTATGGGTGATGAGATGAGACCCATAGAAGGCAGGTGTATGGGTGATGAGACCCATAGAAGGCAGGTGTATGGGTGATGAGACCCATAGAAGGCAGGTGTATGGGTGATGAGACCCATAGAAGGCAGGTGTATGGGTGATGAGACCCATAGAAGGCAGGTGTATGGGTGATGAGACCCATAGAAGGCAGGTGTATGGGTGATGAGACCCATAGAGGGCAGGTCTATGGGTGATGAGACCCATAGAAGGCAGGTGTATGGGTGATGAGACCCATAGAAGGCAGGTGTATGGGTGATGAGACCCATAGAAGGCAGGTGTATGGGTGATGAGACCCATAGAAGGCAGGTGTATGGGTGATGAGACCCATAGAGGGCAGGTCTATGGGTGATGAGACCCATAGAAGGCAGGTGTATGGGTGATGAGACCCATAGAAGGCAGGTGTATGGGTGATGAGACCCATAGAAGGCAGGTGTATGGGTGATGAGACCCATAGAAGGCAGGTGTATGGGTGATGAGACCCATAGAAGGCAGGTGTATGGGTGATGAGACCCATAGAAGGCAGGTGTATGGGTGATGAGACCCATAGAAGGCAGGTGTATGGGTGATGAGACCCATAGAAGGCAGGTCAATGAGAGAAGGCAGAATGCGGCAGAAAGGGGGATGGGTTGAGGGCTAGTGAGTAGAGGAAGAAACAGCAGAGCCAGAGCAGAGAGTGCCACCGTTGAGATTTCTCAAAAGTCACAGAAGCATACCCACTTGTGGTGAGTTTCTTCGAGTGGAGGCAGTCACAAGCTTGATTCCCCGTGCGTTGTCGTACACTGGGGGTTTCCACTCCGCCAGCACTGGGTGCGGCACGGTGGGAGAGGGGAGAGGGGAGAGGGGATAAGTGTGGGAGGTACACTGGGGGAGGGGGTACAGGTGTATTGCCTTGGCAGTGACGAGCTTTATGCTCCGTGTGTTGTCAGGCACTGGGGGCTTGCACTCCGCCAGATTTGAACAGGTTGGGAGGCAAAGGTCAGTCAGGGGAGAGATTATTCTGGGTGAGGGTAAGTCTAGTTTTGAGGCGCCTCAAAACTTGAGGGTAAGGGGTACAGGTGTTATGTCATGGCAGTGACGAGCTGGATGCCCCGTGCGTCGTCGTACACTGGGGGCTTGCACTCCGCCAGAACTGGCTTGGGTGCAGAGAGTGAGCAGTGGGAGCAAGGAGGAGGAGAATAGGCATGCGCACTTGTATGGGAGCAGTGGGTAGGCCTGGTTGGTTCCTGAAGCATGCGCTGCCATACAGAACGGGATTCCACTCCGCCAACTCAAGTTAGAGTAGAGGGAGTGGCAGAGAAGATTTTCGGACATTTTCCAGTGAGCAGCACTTGCGTAGGAGTAGGTTTACGCAAGTAGGAAAAGACAGTGTTTAAAGCAAGTTAGGGTAGAGGGAGTGGCAGAGAAGCGGGTGAGGAGTGCAGGTGCGGTAAGTTAGAGGGAAAAGGCCCAGGTGCTTGATGCCCTTGGTACAGGGTATGCTGTGCAGGGTAAGGTGTGCAGGGAAAGGTGTGCCAGGGAAGGTGTGTGCTAGGTCAAGTGTGCCAGGTAAGGTGTGCAGGGTAATACTTGAAGAGTTTCGATTGACTCACCGATTAGAGTGCAGCCGTAAAGATTGAATTGCGGACTCATTCCTGATGTAGTCTGGATACAGGCACACACATACACACGTGCACACGCACGCACGCACGCACGCACGCACACACACACATATACACTCACACACATACACACGTGCACACGCACACACGCACACACACACACACACACATACACACACACATACACACACACACACACACACACACGCACACACACACACACATACACACACACACACACCAAACAGATCAGTTCCACCTCACCTGCTGGGAAAAGGCAGGAACGCTCCTTCCTCGCTTCCTATCCTACCTGCCTCATTCTTTTTTTTTTCCCCCATGTAAGTTTACACGTGAGTCGAGCGTGAACGTTGTGCCTTCTTCCTCCCCTGTTCACCTAACTCCCTCTATTCTTCCCCCCAGCTGCCTCCCTCCAGTGAGAGTGAATCTAGCACGGGGCGTTATCCCTCATGCCGTTGGCAGCAACAGTGGACAACAGTGCATGCAAGCACCACGTGCTCCCATGCTGGCACATGGTAGGGGATGAGCACAGCACCTACCTTCTTTCCCCTTGTGAGAGTGAGTCGAACATGGGCGTTGTCCCTCATGCCATTGGCAGCAAGGGTTGACACCAGCGCATGCACTATGTGTTCCCTCTTTTCGATCCCTACCTTCCCCCATTGCTTCCCCCCACCCCTACCTTCTTCCCCCGTGTGAGAGTGAGTCGAACATGGGCGTTGTCCCTCATGCCGTTCGCAGCGAGGGTTGACACCAGCGCATGCACCACATGCTCTCGTGTAGGCATGTTTGCAAACGCCATAGCCTTGGCCGAGTCGAAGAGGCTGTGTAAGGGTGGGTCGTTACAGGATGAGAGGGGAGGGAAGAGAGTTTAGCAAAGAGCACGTGAGCGAGCGTGTAAGGGGAGGAATTCAGGAGGGAAGCAGCAGTCTAAAACGCACACTCACCAGTCCCTTGTGTGTATGATGCACCTGCACTCTCCCACCAGTTCAGGAGGCCAGCAGCAGTCCGTGCACACAAGGGTTCACACAGATGTGACTTTTGAGTCGACTCAAAAGTCACCGGAGGCCAGCAGCAGTCCAGGTCCTGGTGTGGACCCTTGTGCTCACAAGGGTACACACAAGGGTTCACACATCCACTCACCGGTCCAGGCGCTCTTGTAGCTTGAAAATGCGACCATCGTTCAGTCTCAGGCCCTCCCACACCGGATTGGAGAGGAGGAAAGAGTGTTGGAGTTTGAAGCTAAGTGAAAGAGAGCGTGTGAAGGGAAACAGCAGTCTAAACACACACTCGCTCACCGGTCCAGGTGCTCTTGTAGCTTGAAAATGCGACCATCATACACTCTCAACCCCTCCAATACAGCATCCCCTCCCTGCACTGCAGAGTCCAGCACATGGACCTGATGTCGGTCCATACCACAGGGAAGATGAGACAGTAGACATGATGAGAAGACATTTATGGAGACACAGCCCCTCCCACACAGCGTCCCCTCCCTGCACTGCAGAGTCAAGCACACGCACTGCACCTGCCATCCATTTACAGGGGAGATTGGATATTTGAGAAGTCTCAAAAATCGCTCAGCAGGAGACAACTGTTAGTCAACTCAAAAGCCACTCCCTCAGCGCCTCCCCGCCCACAAGGCGTTGCCTCCCTGCACTGCACGGCAGAGTCAAGCACGTGTACCTGCCATCCAACGATGCCACCAAGCGGATAGAGGGGACAGCATAAGGAGACTAGGTCAACTCAAGAGTCAACTCATCAGTCATGCTCTCAGCGCCTCCCACACGGCGTCCCACACGGCGTCCCACACGGCGTCCCACACGGCGTCCCACACGGCGTCCCACACGGCGTCCCACACGGCGTCCCACACGGCGTCCCACACGGCGTCCCACACGGCGTCCCACACGGCGTCCCACACGGCGTCCCACACGGCGTCCCACACGGCGTCCCACACGGCGTCCCACACGGCGTCCCACACGGCGTCCCACACGGCGTCCCACACGGCGTCCCACACGGCGTCCCACACGGCGTCCCACACGGCGTCCCACACGGCGTCCCACACGGCGTCCCACACGGCGTCCCACACGGCGTCCCACACGGCGTCCCACACGGCGTCCCACACGGCGTCCCACACGGCGTCCCACACGGCGTCCCACACGGCGTCCCACACGGCGTCCCACACGGCGTCCCACACGGCGTCCCACACGGCGTCCCACACGGCGTCCCACACGGCGTCCCACACGGCGTCCCACACGGCGTCCCACACGGCGTCCCACACGGCGTCCCACACGGCGTCCCACACGGCGTCCCACACGGCGTCCCACACGGCGTCCCACACGGCGTCCCACACGGCGTCCCACACGGCGTCCCACACGGCGTCCCACACGGCGTCCCACACGGCGTCCCACACGGCGTCCCACACGGCGTCCCACACGGCGTCCCACACGGCGTCCCACACGGCGTCCCACACGGCGTCCCACACGGCGTCCCACACGGCGTCCCACACGGCGTCCCACACGGCGTCCCACACGGCGTCCCACACGGCGTCCCACACGGCGTCCCACACGGCGTCCCACACGGCGTCCCACACGGCGTCCCACACGGCGTCCCACACGGCGTCCCACACGGCGTCCCACACGGCGTCCCACACGGCGTCCCACACGGCGTCCCACACGGCGTCCCACACGGCGTCCCACACGGCGTCCCACACGGCGTCCCACACGGCGTCCCACACGGCGTCCCACACGGCGTCCCACACGGCGTCCCACACGGCGTCCCACACGGCGTCCCACACGGCGTCCCACACGGCGTCCCACACGGCGTCCCACACGGCGTCCCACACGGCGTCCCACACGGCGTCCCACACGGCGTCCCACACGGCGTCCCCTCCCACACGGTAGAGTCCAGTACGAGCACCTGCCATATATCCATACTACAGGGGAGATCATGGGGAGACCATGAGAAACCACTTGTAAGTCAACGGCTCAGGCCCTGCCCACACGGCGTCCCCTCCCTGCACTCTTTTGAGGCGAACAAGGGGATCCGCCATAGGTCCACAGGGAAGACGGGGTAGGTAGTGGAAAATCTATCAGTCAGTCGTCACACTCTCAGTCGACTCAAAAGTCGACTCAAAAGCCCCTCCCACACATCATCCCCTTCCCACACACTCAAAAAAGCCATTTTATCCACACACTCAAAAGCCATTTTATCCACACACTCAAAAGCCATTTTATCCACACACTCAAAAGCCATTTTATCCACACACTCAAAAGCCATTTTATCCACACACTCAAAAGCCATTTTATCCACACACTCAAAAGCCATTTTATCCACACACATCATCCCCTTCCTGCACGGCAGAGTTCCATTCTATCTGCACGTGGCTATACCATCTAAGCACAGGGGAGATCGAGTGGGAGGACAGACAGAATGGACCGAGAGAGAGTATCGGTAGGATAGAGTGACGAAGAGGCGAACACTCACACTCTCTCCTCCCGATACTCACACATGCACCTAGATCTTACCAGGTGTTTCGAGAAACTCTCAGCCTCAGATACAACCTTCACCTGATGCAAAATACCTCGCCACACCCTAACCATGGCACATGATGACACATGCACGGTTGGACACTACCTAGAGTAAAGAATCTAGAGGCACACGTTTTAACACTATCTTCGTGAGATGAGTCGATTTTTTAGTCGACTCAAAAATCGAGTAACGAATCTAGAGGCACACGTTTCAACCCTACCTTAGCGTCTCGTCTCGGCAACAGCCCCTCCTCCCCCACCCACAATAGCAGGTTCTCGTTCGCCGGCACAGGGAGAGGCGGCGAGGGCAGAGGCGAGAGGCAAGGGCACATGTAACCCACATGTAACCATGTACCCGTGTACACCTCATCTGTGCCACATGTAACCATGTACCCGTGTACACCTCATCTGTGCCACATGTAACCATGTACCCGTGTACACCTCATCTGTGCCACATGTAACCATGTACCCGTGTACACCTCATCTGTGCCACATGTAACCATGTACCCGTGTACACCTCATCTGTGCCACATGTAACCATGTACCCGTGTACACCTCATCTGTGCCACATGTAACCATGTACCCGTGTACACCTCATCTGTGCCACATGCATGAAAGGGTCGGACTCTACCTTGGCGTCTCTTCGCGGCAACAGCCCCTCCTCCCCCACCCACACCAGCAGCTGCTCGTTCGCCGGCACAGGGAGCGGCGGCGAGGGCAGAGGCGAGAGGCAAGGGCACATGTAACCCATGTGTAACCCATATGTAACCCATATGTAACCCATATGTAACCCATATGTAACCCATATGTAACCCATGTGTAACCCATGTGTAACCATGTACCCGTGTACACCTCATCTGTGCCACATGCATGAAAGGGTCGGACCCTACCTTGGCGTCTCTTCGCTGCACCAACCCCTCCTCCCCCACCCACACCAGCAGCCTCTCGTTAGCCGGCACAGGGAGCGGCGGCGAAGGGAGAGGAGAGGTGGAGGTAGAGGGGGAGATGGTTATGGGAGTGGTGGTGGAGGAGTTGTCAGTGGTGGTGAGCGGTACGAGGGCTTTGGAGTGGAGCAAGGAGTAGAACGGGCGGCATTCCTCCAGGAGAGAGTAGTGATCCATTGGGAATGGCTGAGAGGAGGGAAGAGAGGGGGACGACAGAGGAAAGGAAGTTAGGGAGTTAGCAGTGGTGGTGAGCGGTACGAGAGCTTGGAGTGGAGCAAGGGGTAGAACGGTCGGCAGTCCTCTGGCAGAGAGTAGTGAGCCATTGCAAAGGGCTGAGAGGGGGGGCGGGTTGAAGGGAGACAGAGCGAACACAAGCAGTAAGAGAAGTGGGAACAGAATCGTATGAGTGAGTGCAGAATTTTGACTTTTGAGACGTCTCAAGAGACAGAGAGCGAACACAAGCAGTAAGAGAAGTGGGAACAGAATCGTATGAGTGAGTGCAGAATTTTGGGCATCTTGGGATATAGAGCGGGAGAAGCGAAGCGAATGGCAAGAACTCTATCGACTCAAAATGTCGACGTAGGAGCATTATTGTATGTGAATTGAAGCAGCGTGACGTGAGGTGACGTGAATTGCAGTGAATCTGAGGCCACCTTGGGGTAGAGAGCAGGGGGAGCGAAGCCTGTGGAGGCATGCGTGGTGGTATACCACCAGGGAGCCCACACCCCGTCCTCTGGGCGTTTCCCTGCAGGCCAGCTGAGCATGGAAGCACAAAGAGAGGGGAGTGATAGCACGCGTGGTGCATTAGCTGCCTGACATGAAGCGTGCTGGTGGTATACCACCAAGGAGCCCACACCCCATCCTCTGGACGCTTCCCTGCAGGCCAGCTTGAGCACAGCGAGTAGGAATATGGAGGTGATGCAACCCTTCAGAGGCTCAAAGACTGACTGAAGCATTAATATTTGATACAAATGTCGCACGCATAGATACTTCTAGGTGTCTCGATAAAGGATGCTGCACCTCTTTAAACAGCACAAATCACGATATCCGTTCAATCTTACCAAAGAGATTAACATACAGAGCTTGGCCCTGCTACACTTACGAGAGCATTTCCGGATAGAAGGGGATGTCTAGAGCTTGGCAGAGTGCCATGAGAACGCCCTGTTCAATACAGGTAGGGCATGTAGGGGGCAGGGAGGCAAGAGGGTGAACACAGCATGTAGGGGGCAGGGAGGCAAGAGGGTGAACACAGCATGTAGGGGGCAGGGAGGCAAGAGGGTGAACACAGCATGTAGGGGGCAGGGAGGCAAGAGGGTGAACACAGCATGTAGGGGGCAGGGAGGCAAGAGGGTGAACACAGCATGTAGGGGGCAGGGAGGCAAGAGGGTGAACACAGCATGTAGGGGGCAGGGAGGCAAGAGGGTGAACACAGCATGTAGGGGGCAGGGAGGCAAGAGGGTGAACACAGCATGTAGGGGGCAGGGAGGCAAGAGGGTGAACACAGCATGTAGGGGGCAGGGAGGCAAGAGGGTGAACACAGCATGTAGGGGGCAGGGAGGCAAGAGGGTGAACACAGCATGTAGGGGGCAGGGAGGCAAGAGGGTGAACACAGCATGTAGGGGGCAGGGAGGCAAGAGGGTGAACACAGCATGTAGGGGGCAGGGAGGCAAGAGGGTGAACACAGCATGTAGGGGGCAGGGAGGCAAGAGGGTGAACACAGCATGTAGGGGGCAGGGAGGCAAGAGGGTGAACACAGCATGTAGGGGGCAGGGAGGCAAGAGGGTGAACACAGCATGTAGGGGGCAGGGAGGCAAGAGGGTGAACACAGCATGTAGGGGGCAGGGAGGCAAGAGGGTGAACACAGCATGTAGGGGGCAGGGAGGCAAGAGGGTGAACACAGCATGTAGGGGGCAGGGAGGCAAGAGGGTGAACACAGCATGTAGGGGGCAGGGAGGCAAGAGGGTGAACACAGCATGTAGGGGGCAGGGAGGCAAGAGGGTGAACACAGCATGTGCTCTCAGCATGTGCAGGCTCGGAGAGTAATGAGTTTAGAGTTGTCTCAGTTTGAAGGTGTTCTCGGACAACTTTTGAGGCGCCTCAAAAGTTGTCTCAGTTTGAAGGTGTTCTCGGACAACAGCAAATGAGGCGTGGGTTTGCTGCAGCCTTGTGGTGTTGACCACAGGCAGGGGCCGGCCCATGTGGGAGAGCACAGAGTGGATTGCAAGGAGGTGGGAGTCAGCCGTCTCAGAGAGAGATGGGGGGCATTCAGGCCCGGCCACCCCAGCCCATATGAGGACTGGTGGGAGGCGGGGATGATGATGGCATTGCCGGGTACCTGAGGGTTGGATTGCAGCTGGGTGGCGTCGACCACAGGAAGGGGTCGGCCCATGTGCGATAGCGTGGAGTGGATGGCGAGGAGGCGGGGGAGAGCCGTCTCAGAGAGAGGAGGGGGGCACGATAGTGGTTCCTGCGGGTGCAACTGCAGTCTCTCTCTACCTGAGGGTTGGACTGCAGCTAGGTGGCGTCCACCACAGGTGTGGGTCGCCCCATGTGGGAGAGCGATGAGTGGATGACGAGGAGGTGGGGGAGAGCTGTCTCCGAAAGAGACGGAGGGGAGAGCAGAGCAGAGCACCACTAGGGGCCTAGGGCTCAATTGCAGGATACCTGAGGGTTGGTTTGTAGCCTTGTAGCATCCACCACAGGTGGGGGTCGGCCCATGTGAGAGAGCGAGGAGTGGATGGTGAGGAGGTGGGGGAGAGCCGTCTCGGAGAGAGAAGGGGGGGAAACTTCACCAAAAGAGGGCTGGCAGAGGGGGTGGGACAGGGAAGAGGCAGAAAGGAGAGGGAAATGCAGGGTGAAGGTAGGACGTAGTATAGGAAGTAAAAGCATCAGTACAAGGAAGAAGAAATGGGGAGACGAAAAGGGCACGAGGTGACTTTTGAGTCGACTCAAAAGCCACCTTCTCATAGGAAGTAACAGCGTCAATGCAAGGAGAAAGGGATTGGGAGTTAAAAAGTGCACCTGAATTCAGCGAGGGAGATCAGAACAGTGTCCAAGTGAGAAAGGAGAAAGGCGACGGAAAAGGAAAGTGGGTTAGAGAAAAAACTCACTGAGAGTGAGTGAGTGAGAGAGTGAGTGTGCGCCTCACAATGAGCAGCATTGGGTCGCGGATGAGAATGACATGCCGGCCGCGTGACAATAGTGAAGCCTGGAGCTCCTCTCTGCATTGCTTTGCCATGTGCTGCCAACACAGTGGGGTGGGAAGGAGAGAGAAGAGTAAGAAGTGTGATGATTCTTGAGGCGCCCCACAAGTAGTGAAGCCTGGAGCTCCTCTCTGCACTGCTTTGCCATATGCTGACCATGGAGAGGAAAGATGAGTGAACAAGAAGTACGGGGGACATGCGTGCGTGCACGGTACACTGAGAGTGAGTGACAACAGTGAAGCCTGAAGCTATTCGCGGCACTGCTTTGCCATGTGCTGATAACAGAGTGGGGAGGAGGGGGCAGAGAATGTGTGATCAAATGAAACATTGATACGCAGAGAGGGTGACAAGAATTTACATGGAGAATACACAAAGGAGGATATTGAACTACTTGGAAAGAAAGCTATTCAGTAAATCACACACCTTCACAAAACGAAGAGGTTTCGATCTTTGAGGGCCGTATACCACTTCGTCAACCACCCTCGTCCCATCAGAATCCTGCCACAAGAAGCGGAGTCGAGTTGGAGCAGATGTAACAAACAAACAAAGATAATCACATCCTTGCAAGGTACAGCTGGTGCGGGATGTATCTGTGGTATTTTTGAAATTTTCCAAAAACACATTCTGCAGCTGTGGGCCCTTTCAACGGGTTGGAGAAGCGCGGTTGTAACCCTGTGTACGCTTGAGGTGCTTCCAGGTTAAGCCCAGCCGTTTCTTCCCCCTTGTTCTCTCACTATACTATTCAGCACCAGCTGCCTGTACAGCCGGGGAGCACCGGCGACTGCCAGAGCTAGGTTGCCAACATGATGCTCTACCATGTCATACCGCATTGCACACACTACTACCGCATAGCACACACTACTACCGCATCAAGCTGCCTCTCACCATGCTATCCAGCACCAGCTGCCTGTATGGCCGCGGAGCACTGGTGACTGCTGGGGCCATGCTGTAGCTGTATCATCTGCTATCCTGCACTGCACCACGCTAACCCCTTTTTCTCTCGTCTCACCATGCCATACCGCACAGCACACTCTGCTACCTCACCATGCTATCCAGCACCAGCTGCCTGTACGGCCGGGGAGCTCCAGTGACTGTCAGGAAGTCGGCATACAGAGGCTCGTCCACCACCTCCGTGTCTGGGCGCTGAGGAAGAGAAGGGTGTGGGGGGGTGTGGGGGAGTGGAAGGGATGAAGGTGTTTGGCAGAACCGGTGACTGTCAGGAAGTCGGCATACAGAGGCTCGTCCACCACCTCCGTGTCTGGGCGCTGAAGGAAGAGGAGGAAGGATATTGAGGGAAGATGGATGAATAAAGAGGGGTGGAAAGGGGTCAAGAGGGTCCTAGAGTCGGCATACAGAGGCTCATCCACCACCTCCGTGTCTGGGCGCTGCAGGAATGGGGAAGATGGAGGAGAGGAGAGTGAAAGAGGGGGAAAGAGGGAATGAAGGGTGCTGGGATCACCGGTGACAACCAGGAAGTCGGCGTAGAGAGGCTCATCGACCACCTCGGTGTCTGGGCGCTGCAGGAAGCGGGCGGAGTGATATTGAGGGAAGATGGATGAATGAAGAGGGGTGGAAAGGGGTCAAGAGGGTCCTAGAGTCGGCGTAGAGAGGCTCATCGACCACCTCGGTGTCTGGGCGCTGAGGAAGAGGGCGGAGTGATGAGGGGCATGGGGAGGGGAGGCGGGCAGTGAGACGGAGTGACTTTTCAGGCGCCTCAAAAGGCATGGCGAGGGCAGGTGGATGGTGAGACGGAGTGACTTTTCAGGCGCCTCAAAAGGCATGGCGAGGGCAGGTGGATGGTGAGACGGAGTGACTTTTCAGGCGCCTCAAAAGGCATGGCGAGGGCAGGTGGATGGTGAGACGGAGTGACTTTTCAGGCGCCTCAAAAGGCATGGCGAGGGCAGGTGGATGGTGAGACGGAGTGACTTTTCAGGCGCCTCAAAAGGCATGGCGAGGGCAGGTGGATGGTGAGACGGAGTGACTTTTCAGGCGCCTCAAAAGGCATGGCGAGGGCAGGTGGATGGTGAGACGGAGTGACTTTTCAGGCGCCTCAAAAGGCATGGCGAGGGCAGGTGGATGGTGAGACGGAGTGACTTTTCAGGCGCCTCAAAAGGCATGGCGAGGGCAGGTGGATGGTGAGACGGAGTGACTTTTCAGGCGCCTCAAAAGGCATGGCGAGGGCAGGTGGATGGTGAGACGGAGTGGGATGTCAGCTCACGAGGGCCAGGAGGAGGCGGGAGGAGGCGGGAGGAGGCGGGAGGAGGCGGGAGGAGGCGGGAGGATGCGGGAGGATGCGGGAGGAGGCGGGGCAGAAGAGAGGGGCTGAAAGGGTCATGAGGTTCATAAAGTCGGCATATTGAGGCTCGTCCGCCACCTCCGTGTCTGGGCGCTGAGGGAAGGAAAGAGGGAGAGGATTGGAGAGGTGTGAGCACGCTATCCGGGTATGGGACGGCCGTGGGATGGTAGTGGGACGGCGCGGGAGCGCTGGCGGCTGAGACGTTGTAAACATGCATAAGGCCGCAAGTATGTCCTAAAAAAACTTGAAGACATGCAGAGAGAAGAGTCGGATTAATTCGTGCCTGAGCGAAGGAGTACATGAGGCTCGTGCTGAGCGACCGCGGCCCCGACCAGAGGTTGATCACCCAATCCGTGTCCGACGCGTCACAAGGCGACGCCATCTGCGGCGCGCCAGCGTGTTCTGGGAGCGTTTCCGATGTCATTCGGGCTCTAATTCGGTTCGCGTTCGACGAGCGCAATAAATTTTAGATTCCGTAGCGCTCCGAACGTCGTCGCAGGTCCGTTCTTTGCGTTAGCTACTTGCGTGTCAGTCTTGTGACGTTGGGAAATTGGTCTCAAATTTTCTGCTACTGTATCTAATGGTAATTCAGTTCACCAGTTTCTCTGAATGCGAAGTTGCGACTTCCGAGGCATCTCATGTTCCGCTAGGTGGATTCGCGACCATGTAACCAGGCACTTTGTCGCACTAGCTCTTTTTGAACGAATCGAGCCTCCATCATTGTGTGCGAACTCAAAAATCCTTGCGAGTTTTCGCAAAGGCGGGAATTTTGATGTCAGTACAGTGCCACCTTTGTTAATCCATTAACTTGTTTTGCCTATAACGAGGGAGCTTTAGAGCAATGACCATCTTTACAAAGACCTGAAAAGTGTAACCGTACAGTACATCACGTAATTTCGACTTTGCCGGACTCGCCTGTCACAGTCGAGATTCTTGAACATCGCGTTTCTCGGTGCTTTGCGAAAGCTCAGCCAGCACCGTCGATCTGACACCAGCCTACAGATTCTTGCCACGTCTCCAATTGAAAGTTCTCGAGACGCCTGTGTGACATTCCCGCACCGCTTCAGCCCAATGTGGAATTCGCGAGGCAAATCTGCCTGCTTCCAGCAGCTTCTAGGTTCGAAATGAACACCAACCTTTCTGCTCTACGTCTTTCTCGCAGCTTCCACGGCCTCGAATCACTTCCACCAGCCCTGACACCAGCACTTCCAACAAGCTGCTATATATGGCTGGGCTCACAATCACTGGCTCATCAATCAAAACAGCAAATAGCTCTTTACTCTCTATCTCTCAGCGTTCACGCTCTCGCACATCTCAAGGCTTTACATTCAATACCCCTCTGACTTTGGAGTTCACTCGGCCATCCGCTCTTCATCCTTTTTGTCACAACACCTGAAAACTCGTCTCTTCATACTTCAATCATGGCGAAGGGAGAGGGCCCTGCGATTGGCATTGACCTCGGCACGACCTACAGCTGCGTGGGCGTGTGGCAGCACGATCGCGTTGAGATCATCGCCAATGACCAAGGCAACCGCACCACCCCGTCCTACGTGGCATTCACTGACACGGAGCGCCTGATTGGCGACGCAGCCAAGAACCAAGTGTCCATGAACCCCGTCAACACCGTCTTCGGTACGTCCCCATGCAGAATCATCCACCGTTCGGACACTCCGTTGCTTCTACCCTTACTTCCGCATTGAATCGTACCATACCTTGAATCTGCCTGCCCTCGCTCATTCGTCATGTCTTCTGATTTCTCACTTGTTCTTTTCACTTGACGTGCTCGCAGATGCGAAGCGTCTCATCGGACGCCGGTTCTCCGACGCGCCCGTGCAGAACGACATCAAGCTGTGGCCGTTCAAGGTGATCGCGGGCGCGGGCGAGAAGCCGATGATCCAGGTCGAGTACAAGGGCGAGACGAAGCAATTCGCCGCGGAAGAAATTTCGTCCATGGTGCTGACGAAAATGAAGGAAATCGCAGAGGCTTACCTTGGGACTACCGTGAAAAACGCGGTGGTGACGGTTCCGGCTTATTTTAACGACTCGCAGCGCCAAGCAACGAAAGACGCGGGTGTGATCGCTGGGCTGAACGTGATGCGGATTATCAACGAGCCTACTGCAGCTGCTATCGCGTACGGGCTTGATAAGAAGAACAGCAGCTCGTCTGAGAAGAACGTTCTTATCTTCGATCTCGGTGGCGGCACTTTTGACGTGTCCCTTCTTTCGATTGAGGACGGTATTTTCGAGGTGAAGGCGACGGCTGGCGACACTCATTTGGGTGGCGAGGATTTCGACAATCGCATGGTGCACCATTTCGTTCAGGAGTTCAAGCGGAAGTACAAGAAGGACCTGAGTAACAACCCACGGTCCCTTCGCCGCCTTCGCACGGCATGCGAGCGCGCCAAGCGAACTCTCTCCTCCACCGCGCAAACCACCATTGAAATCGATTCGCTCTACGAGGGAATTGACTTCTACACCACCATCACCCGCGCGCGCTTCGAGGAGCTTAACATGGACATGTTCCGGAAGTGCATGGATCCCGTGGAGAAGTGCCTCAAGGACGCGAAAATGTCCAAGGCGCAGATCCACGACGTGGTGCTCGTCGGCGGGTCTACTCGCATTCCCAAGGTGCAGCAGCTACTCCAGGAGTATTTCAACGGCAAGGAGCTCTGCAAGAGCATTAATCCTGACGAGGCCGTGGCGTACGGCGCGGCGGTTCAGGCGGCGATTCTAAGCGGCGAGGGGAACGAGAAGGTGCAGGACCTGCTGCTGCTCGACGTGACGCCGCTGTCTCTTGGGTTGGAAACGGCCGGAGGGGTAATGACGGTGCTGATTCCGAGGAACACCACGATTCCTACGAAGAAGGAGCAGGTCTTTTCGACGTTTTCGGATAACCAGCCGGGGGTGTTAATTCAGGTGTACGAGGGTGAACGCGCTCGGACTAAGGATAACAATCTGCTCGGAAAATTCGAGCTCTCGGGAATACCGCCGGCGCCACGTGGCGTGCCCCAGATCACTGTGACGTTCGACATTGACGCGAACGGCATCTTGAACGTGAGCGCGGAGGACAAAACTACGGGGCAGAAGAATAAGATAACGATCACGAACGATAAGGGAAGACTCAGCAAGGAGGAAATCGAACGGATGGTGGAGGAAGCGGAGAAGTACAAGGATGATGACGAGCAGCACAAGAAGCGGGTTGAGGCGAAAAACGCTCTCGAGAATTATTCGTACGGTATGCGTAACACCGTTCGCGACGATAAGATTGCGGGGAAACTATCGCCTGAAGATAAGAAGGCGATCGAGAAGGCCGTAGATGCAACGATTGATTGGCTGGACAAGAACCAGCTTGCCGATGTGGACGAATTCGAGGACAAGCAAAAGGAGCTCGAAGGAATTTGTAACCCGATCATCGCGAAGATGTGCCAGGCTGGAGCGGGAGGTATGGGGGATGTTCCTATGGGAGGTTCTTCTAGCGGAGGTGACGGCCCGAAGATTGAGGAGGTTGACTAAGGTGGAGAATGGCTGAAATGGAGAAAAAGCTTTGCAAAATTTGTACAACTTGTAGGACTTGCATGCTGTACAATTGCAGAGGCAAAGTGCATGTTTTGACATTGTGAAGGGGTACAAGTAATTTTTTAATGCAACCATTGAAAGTCCAACCAGCCTCTTGGGAAATTCCTTCGGAAACTGTGCTCAAGCAGGTCACTCTCTAGATACAACTATTGGGACACCTATGGGTATGTCAAGCAAGATACAGACAATCAGTACAATGCCATCAACCTAGTTTGTCAGATGTACAAAACGACTCACAGCTAAACACTATCCCAGACAAGGCTAATATCCCACCCATTTTATACAGTTCATCTCTCAAAGCGCCTGAGCCTTGGACCCATCATCCTCACAGCAAGACTCCGTACCGAAGACAGGCTCTCCAGTTTTTTTCCCTGCATTCCCTGCTCCAGGTGAGCATACTACACAAGCCGGAATGTCCCGGCACTTGCAAGAATCGACGCTCACGCTAGCAGCCTCGCCTGGAGATATGCCATAGCCGGATAAAGACGCTGGATTGGTTGAGAGATTAGGCGCATGGATGGCGCAGGTGCACTGATGATGATGCTGCTGATTCGGTGATTTTGTGGCAAATTTTGCTTCTTCCATGGCGTTTAGCTGTCACGGTTACAGAAAATGCTCACCATTAAAAGAAGACGATAGGCAAGAAAAAAACATATCCGGACGTAGCTTTTTATTATCCAGTGAGCACGACGCGGGTTGAATGATGCGCGCCAGCTCGTCCGAATTGAATGAAAATCGGCGGATGAACAAAGAGCTTACCTTTGACTGGAACAGAGACGGCGGAAAATCCAACTAGTAATGAAATCACGTCGGAGCCCTTAAAGCCCAAGACCTGAATTACAAAAAGTAGTAGGCAAACTGTGCACAGTTTGCCTACCGAACCCAGAGTTGACCTCCCGAGCCAAGCTGGTTACCAGAAAACATCCCGCAACAAAGCTCAGAATCGTGGAGCAGAAGAGGTTTGGTTGGCGAGAGCCCCAACCACACCCCTAGCAAGAACAAGGGCTCGGAATGTTCACAGTTTGCAAAATGGTAATTCAGGCCGTGCTTCTACCGATAGTACGCGAGCTCCTCATGCGAAGAGAGAATAAAGCATAGGCCATGAGCACTTCCGCCTTGATTCCTAGCCATCATACGGCTTATTTAGAACTCCAGACGTATCTATCACACGGCCGATATAGAGACCTCGATTACTTTTCTGGTCGTAGCTTATCGGCGTGACAGCAAGGCGAGGCCATATCACGTTTCCGCACTCGGTCGCCCTGGCATCGCCCTTCCGCAAATATCGCATTTGGCCTTATCGTCTTCCGCGTCCCCCACGCTTCCCCCAACCGTCTCTTGCATACCCCCCACGCACACGCCCACGCTTTCCCTCATCGTCGCTCACGCTTTCCCCCACCGTTGCTCACGCTTCCCCTTACCGCCACTCACGCTTCCTCCTGCCTTCACCCACGCTTCCCCATACCGTCGAGAGCGTCTTCCCCCACCTTCACGCATCGCCGCTCATCGCCCACGCTTTCTCCCACCGTCGCCCACGATTTCTCCCACCGTCGCCCACGATTTCTCCCACCGTCGCCCACGATTTCTCCCACCGTCGACCACGATTTCTCCCACCGTCGCCCACGATTTCACCCACCGTCGCCCACGATTTCTCCCACCGTCGCCCACGATTTCACCCACCGTCGCCCACGATTTCTCCCACCGTCGCCCACACTTCCCCGCACCGTCGCCCACGCTTTCCCCCACCGTCGCCCGCGCGTCCCCTCCCATCGCCCTCCCTGTCGCCTGGAAATTTCCCTTACCGCCGACCTCCCTTCCCTCGCGCCTCTCTCCACGTCGCCATCACTCCCCTGCCTATCACGTTCCCCCTCTTCATCACCATCGCTTCTCCACCTACGCCGCCCACCCTCTCATCCATTCCTATCGTTGCTTCCCTCCCCTTTGACTCAATGAGTCTCTCTCGCTCTTCCCATTGCCACTCTCTCTACTCCTACACCACCCACCCTGCCTCCTCCTCTCTCTTGCGCCAACCTCCTCTCTCTTGCACCAACCGCGCACGCATGGCAGGTGCTGCTGCGGCTTTGGAGCAGAGTGCTGGGCGCACAGCCGGGGCAGCGCGTGCAGGCGGGCAGCAAGGAGCGTAGTGCTGCAGGGGGCGGGGCAGGGGAGCGGGGGAGGCGGGGCAGGGGAGCAGGGGAGGCGGGGCAAGGGAGCGGGGGAGGCTCGGCAGGGGAGCGGGGGAGGCGGGGCATGGGAGCGGGGGAGGCGGGGCAGGGGAGCGGGGCAGGCGGCGCAGGGGAGCGCGCGAGGTGGGGGGTAGGGAGAGAGGGTGCAGGGATCCTCCTATCCCCCGTTCCATCCTTATACCTTGCTGCAGTTTTACCTCTTACCCTCCTCCCTTACTCCGTTCCTTCGTCCCCCCAGTCGTCCTCCTCTTCCTCTCTCTTCCTCCCTTCCTCCATCTCTCCCACACTCTCAGCCTCACTACCCTCTTTCCCCTCTCTGTCGCCCGTCCTCCCTCCCTCCCTTCCTCCCGTTCTCCCTTCCTGCCATTCTCACATTTCTTTCATCCTCCCTCGATCCAGACCCCTTCCTCTTTCCATCTCCCGCTCTCCTACTCTCTTCCTCACTCCAACCCTGCGTGTCAGTTTCACCCTTTTACCATCCCCATTGTACCCGGTCACACTCTTTCCTCCCTCCTTCGTCCCTCTCTTTCTCCCTCTTTCCCCCTTCACTTTCTCCCATCCACCCTTCCTCTCATCCCAATGTCCTCTCATCCGCCCTTTCTCTCATCCGCCCGTCATCCTCCCCTCCTCCGACCCAACATCGTCTCCTCCTACTTCCCTTCCTTTAATCATCTATTTCTCTCATCCCAACCCTCTCTCTCCTCCCTCACCTCCTCTACTTCGTCACCACCTCTCCTCCCTCTTCGCCTCCCATTCCACATCTCCGCTGTGCAGATTGTGGCATCAGCACCCGGGTTTCAAGAGAGTTTCTGTCCCCTCTTGTTCCCATCCCTCCAATCATTTGCTCCTCTTCACCCCATCCCCTCCCTTCCCTCGAACGAGCGCGCTCATTCCCCTCCCGTCACCCACTCACACACCCTCCCTTCGACCTACAAGTCGTTCTCCGCTTCCGTCGCATACGCGTTCATTTCCCCTTCCCTCATCTCTGCATTCCTCACCTCCCCTTCCCTCATCTCCGCATTCCTCACCAACCCTTCCCTCATCTCCGCATTCCTCATCTCCCCTTCCCTCATCTCCCCATGCCATCCTATCTCCAACTCACAGGAGTGTGGGAGGTGAGCAGAGGGTGAGCAGAAGTAGGGGGGAGCAGAAGTAAAGGGAGGGAGCAAGGGGGAAGAGAGTGAGAAGATAAGAAGGGGAGGGAGCAAGGGTGAAACAGGGGGAGCAAGGGTGAAACAGGGGGAGCAAGGGTGAAACAGGGGGAGCAAGGGTGAAACAGGGGGAGCAAGGGTGAAACAGGGGGAGCAAGGGTGAAACAGGGGGAGCAAGGGTGAAACAGGGGGAGCAAGGGTGAAACAGGGGGAGCAAGGGTGAAACAGGGGGAGCAAGGGTGAAACAGGGGGAGCAAGGGTGAAACAGGGGGAGCAAGGGTGAAACAGGGGGAGCAAGGGTGAAACAGGGGGAGCAAGGGTGAAACAGGGGGAGCAAGGGTGAAACAGGGGGAGCAAGGGTGAAACAGGGGGAGCAAGGGTGAAACAGGGGGAGCAAGGGTGAAACAGGGGGAGCAAGGGTGAAACAGGGGGAGCAAGGGTGAAACAGGGGGAGCAAGGGTGAAACAGGGGGAGCAAGGGTGAAACAGGGGGAGCAAGGGTGAAACAGGGGGAGCAAGGGTGAAACAGGGGGAGCAAGGGTGAAACAGGGGGAGCAAGGGTGAAACAGGGGGAGCAAGGGTGAAACAGGGGGAGCAAGGGTGAAACAGGGGGAGCAAGGGTGAAACAGGGGGAGCAAGGGTGAAACAGGGGGAGCAAGGGTGAAACAGGGGGAGCAAGGGTGAAACAGGGGGAGCAAGGGTGAAACAGGGGGAGCAAGGGTGAAACAGGGGGAGCAAGGGTGAAACAGGGGGAGCAAGGGTGAAACAGGGGGAGCAAGGGTGAAACAGGGGGAGCAAGGGTGAAACAGGGGGAGCAAGGGTGAAACAGGGGGAGCAAGGGTGAAACAGGGGGAGCAAGGGTGAAACAGGGGGAGCAAGGGTGAAACAGGGGGAGCAAGGGTGAAACAGGGGGAGCAAGGGTGAAACAGGGGGAGCAAGGGTGAAACAGGGGGAGCAAGGGTGAAACAGGGGGAGCAAGGGTGAAACAGGGGGAGCAAGGGTGAAACAGGGGGAGCAAGGGTGAAACAGGGGGAGCAAGGGTGAAACAGGGGGAGCAAGGGTGAAACAGGGGGAGCAAGGGTGAAACAGGGGGAGCAAGGGTGAAACAGGGGGAGCAAGGGTGAAACAGGGGGAGCAAGGGTGAAACAGGGGGAGCAAGGGTGAAACAGGGGGAGCAAGGGTGAAACAGGGGGAGCAAGGGTGAAACAGGGGGAGCAAGGGTGAAACAGGGGGAGCAAGGGTGAAACAGGGGGAGCAAGGGTGAAACAGGGGGAGCAAGGGTGAAACAGGGGGAGCAAGGGTGAAACAGGGGGAGCAAGGGTGAAACAGGGGGAGCAAGGGTGAAACAGGGGGAGCAAGGGTGAAACAGGGGGAGCAAGGGTGAAACAGGGGGAGCAAGGGTGAAACAGGGGGAGCAAGGGTGAAACAGGGGGAGCAAGGGTGAAACAGGGGGAGCAAGGGTGAAACAGGGGGAGCAAGGGTGAAACAGGGGGAGCAAGGGTGAAACAGGGGGAGCAAGGGTGAAACAGGGGGAGCAAGGGTGAAACAGGGGGAGCAAGGGTGAAACAGGGGGAGCAAGGGTGAAACAGGGGGAGCAAGGGTGAAACAGGGGGAGCAAGGGTGAAACAGGGGGAGCAAGGGTGAAACAGGGGGAGCAAGGGTGAAACAGGGGGAGCAAGGGTGAAACAGGGGGAGCAAGGGTGAAACAGGGGGAGCAAGGGTGAAACAGGGGGAGCAAGGGTGAAACAGGGGGAGCAAGGGTGAAACAGGGGGAGCAAGGGTGAAACAGGGGGAGCAAGGGTGAAACAGGGGGAGCAAGGGTGAAACAGGGGGAGCAAGGGTGAAACAGGGGGAGCAAGGGTGAAACAGGGGGAGCAAGGGTGAAACAGGGGGAGCAAGGGTGAAACAGGGGGAGCAAGGGTGAAACAGGGGGAGCAAGGGTGAAACAGGGGGAGCAAGGGTGAAACAGGGGGAGCAAGGGTGAAACAGGGGGAGCAAGGGTGAAACAGGGGGAGCAAGGGTGAAACAGGGGGAGCAAGGGTGAAACAGGGGGAGCAAGGGTGAAACAGGGGGAGCAAGGGTGAAACAGGGGGAGCAAGGGTGAAACAGGGGGAGCAAGGGTGAAACAGGGGGAGCAAGGGTGAAACAGGGGGAGCAAGGGTGAAACAGGGGGAGCAAGGGTGAAACAGGGGGAGCAAGGGTGAAACAGGGGGAGCAAGGGTGAAACAGGGGGAGCAAGGGTGAAACAGGGGGAGCAAGGGTGAAACAGGGGGAGCAAGGGTGAAACAGGGGGAGCAAGGGTGAAACAGGGGGAGCAAGGGTGAAACAGGGGGAGCAAGGGTGAAACAGGGGGAGCAAGGGTGAAACAGGGGGAGCAAGGGTGAAACAGGGGGAGCAAGGGTGAAACAGGGGGAGCAAGGGTGAAACAGGGGGAGCAAGGGTGAAACAGGGGGAGCAAGGGTGAAACAGGGGGAGCAAGGGTGAAACAGGGGGAGCAAGGGTGAAACAGGGGGAGCAAGGGTGAAACAGGGGGAGCAAGGGTGAAACAGGGGGAGCAAGGGTGAAACAGGGGGAGCAAGGGTGAAACAGGGGGAGCAAGGGTGAAACAGGGGGAGCAAGGGTGAAACAGGGGGAGCAAGGGTGAAACAGGGGGAGCAAGGGTGAAACAGGGGGAGCAAGGGTGAAACAGGGGGAGCAAGGGTGAAACAGGGGGAGCAAGGGTGAAACAGGGGGAGCAAGGGTGAAACAGGGGGAGCAAGGGTGAAACAGGGGGAGCAAGGGTGAAACAGGGGGAGCAAGGGTGAAACAGGGGGAGCAAGGGTGAAACAGGGGGAGCAAGGGTGAAACAGGGGGAGCAAGGGTGAAACAGGGGGAGCAAGGGTGAAACAGGGGGAGCAAGGGTGAAACAGGGGGAGCAAGGGTGAAACAGGGGGAGCAAGGGTGAAACAGGGGGAGCAAGGGTGAAACAGGGGGAGCAAGGGTGAAACAGGGGGAGCAAGGGTGAAACAGGGGGAGCAAGGGTGAAACAGGGGGAGCAAGGGTGAAACAGGGGGAGCAAGGGTGAAACAGGGGGAGCAAGGGTGAAACAGGGGGAGCAAGGGTGAAACAGGGGGAGCAAGGGTGAAACAGGGGGAGCAAGGGTGAAACAGGGGGAGCAAGGGTGAAACAGGGGGAGCAAGGGTGAAACAGGGGGAGCAAGGGTGAAACAGGGGGAGCAAGGGTGAAACAGGGGGAGCAAGGGTGAAACAGGGGGAGCAAGGGTGAAACAGGGGGAGCAAGGGTGAAACAGGGGGAGCAAGGGTGAAACAGGGGGAGCAAGGGTGAAACAGGGGGAGCAAGGGTGAAACAGGGGGAGCAAGGGTGAAACAGGGGGAGCAAGGGTGAAACAGGGGGAGCAAGGGTGAAACAGGGGGAGCAAGGGTGAAACAGGGGGAGCAAGGGTGAAACAGGGGGAGCAAGGGTGAAACAGGGGGAGCAAGGGTGAAACAGGGGGAGCAAGGGTGAAACAGGGGGAGCAAGGGTGAAACAGGGGGAGCAAGGGTGAAACAGGGGGAGCAAGGGTGAAACAGGGGGAGCAAGGGTGAAACAGGGGGAGCAAGGGTGAAACAGGGGGAGCAAGGGTGAAACAGGGGGAGCAAGGGTGAAACAGGGGGAGCAAGGGTGAAACAGGGGGAGCAAGGGTGAAACAGGGGGAGCAAGGGTGAAACAGGGGGAGCAAGGGTGAAACAGGGGGAGCAAGGGTGAAACAGGGGGAGCAAGGGTGAAACAGGGGGAGCAAGGGTGAAACAGGGGGAGCAAGGGTGAAACAGGGGGAGCAAGGGTGAAACAGGGGGAGCAAGGGTGAAACAGGGGGAGCAAGGGTGAAACAGGGGGAGCAAGGGTGAAACAGGGGGAGCAAGGGTGAAACAGGGGGAGCAAGGGTGAAACAGGGGGAGCAAGGGTGAAACAGGGGGAGCAAGGGTGAAACAGGGGGAGCAAGGGTGAAACAGGGGGAGCAAGGGTGAAACAGGGGGAGCAAGGGTGAAACAGGGGGAGCAAGGGTGAAACAGGGGGAGCAAGGGTGAAACAGGGGGAGCAAGGGTGAAACAGGGGGAGCAAGGGTGAAACAGGGGGAGCAAGGGTGAAACAGGGGGAGCAAGGGTGAAACAGGGGGAGCAAGGGTGAAACAGGGGGAGCAAGGGTGAAACAGGGGGAGCAAGGGTGAAACAGGGGGAGCAAGGGTGAAACAGGGGGAGCAAGGGTGAAACAGGGGGAGCAAGGGTGAAACAGGGGGAGCAAGGGTGAAACAGGGGGAGCAAGGGTGAAACAGGGGGAGCAAGGGTGAAACAGGGGGAGCAAGGGTGAAACAGGGGGAGCAAGGGTGAAACAGGGGGAGCAAGGGTGAAACAGGGGGAGCAAGGGTGAAACAGGGGGAGCAAGGGTGAAACAGGGGGAGCAAGGGTGAAACAGGGGGAGCAAGGGTGAAACAGGGGGAGCAAGGGTGAAACAGGGGGAGCAAGGGTGAAACAGGGGGAGCAAGGGTGAAACAGGGGGAGCAAGGGTGAAACAGGGGGAGCAAGGGTGAAACAGGGGGAGCAAGGGTGAAACAGGGGGAGCAAGGGTGAAACAGGGGGAGCAAGGGTGAAACAGGGGGAGCAAGGGTGAAACAGGGGGAGCAAGGGTGAAACAGGGGGAGCAAGGGTGAAACAGGGGGAGCAAGGGTGAAACAGGGGGAGCAAGGGTGAAACAGGGGGAGCAAGGGTGAAACAGGGGGAGCAAGGGTGAAACAGGGGGAGCAAGGGTGAAACAGGGGGAGCAAGGGTGAAACAGGGGGAGCAAGGGTGAAACAGGGGGAGCAAGGGTGAAACAGGGGGAGCAAGGGTGAAACAGGGGGAGCAAGGGTGAAACAGGGGGAGCAAGGGTGAAACAGGGGGAGCAAGGGTGAAACAGGGGGAGCAAGGGTGAAACAGGGGGAGCAAGGGTGAAACAG